TGTTATATTTTTAATTACAACTACATATTTATATTTTATTAACTTGTTTGATTGATAATTCGTAACTTATATCGACCTGAAAATGTCTCTGTACGCTTTCTTCTTCATATGAAATCAAATTTGATTAGGTTTTCATAAAATAGGCAAAATAATCGATCCACACAAATTTTCGATGAATTTCAATCGCAAATAACTTTTTTATTTGATTTCGGATTTAAACAAATATTAAAGAATATTGTAGATACATTCATGGAGAATCGCTCACATTTTAAAAATTACTAAAAATACACGTACGTTTATAATATACATGCAGGTTTAAACAAAAAGATGTTATGGTATACCATAAGTTTAAGACACTCTGTAGAGTGGCAAAACCGTATATTGTTCTAAATTAAGTTTTAATTATCAAGTCAGATCTATTTTTAACAGTTTTGTTTTTGGTTCCCCTCGATATATTTATTTTTGTGGAAAATATGGATTTTTAAAAAAAACATTGCAATTTCCAATATTTTTCTGTATGAAGAACTAAGGTTGCTATGGTCCATCCATATGCTATGGAGAATGACAGTGACAGTTTTGTTGAATCATCCCATACTTGGACATGTCATACACGGCTTTCAAAAGCTATCAAATTGTTTTTTGCAAATTAATGTTTAAATTTTGAGAAGTCTCCCCGACTGATGTTGCCAGAGCCATTAATTTAATCCAGGATGGACGGTCACAGTATTACGTGGCAAGTGTTTTAAACGTCACAAGAAGTAAAGTCCAAGGGCAACATCAGTCGGAGACATTTTTAAAAGTAAGAAGACACCTCAAAATTAACACATTAATTTACAAAAAACAATTTGATAGCTTTTGAAAGCTGTATGACATGTCCAAGTATGGGATGATTCAACAAAACTGTCACTGTTATTCTCCATAGGCTATGGATGGACCATAGCAACCTTAGTTCTTCATACAGGAAAAATATTGGAAATTGCAATGTTTTAAAAAAAATCCATTATTCCACAAAAATAAATATATCAAGGTGAACCAAAAACTAAACTGTTAAAAATAGATGTGACTGATAATTAAAACTTAATTTAGAACAATATACGGTTTTGCCACTCTACAGAGTGTCCTAAACTTATGGTAAAAAACATCTTTTTGTTTAAACCTGTATATTATAAACGTACGTGTATTTTTTAGTAATTTTTAAAATGTGAGCGATTCTCCATTAATGTATCTACAATATTCTTTAATATTTGTTTAAATCCGAAATCAAATAAAAAAGTTATTTGGGATTGAAATTCATCGAAAATTTGTGTGGATCGATTATTTTGCCTGTGAGTGTATATTTATGTAACAAATATGTCAATGCAATTAGTTTTTAAAAGCTTAATTAAATATATCATTCGTTAAAACATAATAAATTCTCAAAGCAAGTGCTACTTGAACATTTTTTATTTGAACTATTTTTAACTTTTTTTTAATTAAAAAAACTTTCATCATTTAATACCGACGTAGTTTATTATACATGCTTTTTTATTAAAAAGGTTCAAACTAAAAATATGATGGTATCGCGCTTCTATTATGTTAAGTAGGTATAAGTTTATACAGTGGCGGCTCGTGGGTTTAAAGGAGAGTGAGGCTACATGAGGTTAATTTTGTCTTAATACAAATAAATTTTCGGGTATTTTTCAGTAACGCGTTGAACTTTTTTAATATGGACGATAGACCTACTAAAATATTATAAATAAAAAAAAAGAAATAAAAAACACAAACAAACAAAGAAAATATTAAAGCAATCTTAGGCCAAATTGCAAAACTTAAAAATATAAATTCGTTTTTTAAAATTTAAAATACCTATATATATTAAAAGTACTTGTAAGAGGCCTACCCTACTGGTTTATTAAATATACAAAAAAAGTGTATCATTAATAGTCTCTTAATAAACTGTGTACCATCATTCTTTCCAACCGCTTATTAATATTGATACGCTTCTAACGTATTATAATACCAGTTTGTAGAGGCATGTCCATAAAAATCAGACCCTAATTATATTTTAAAATAACCCCCATTTTATTAATAGATACCATAGGACTCATTATCGTGGGCTGGTTAATCTACATACAGTTATAATAGAACTTTAATTGAATTATCGCTTTCTGGTGCATAATTAAAAAGCACTTGTCAATACATATGTATACGTGCAGGGCCGGCTTTATGGGGGGCATTGATTTTTTTAAAGGCTTAAAAGAGTTAGAAATAAGATTTTTTAAAGAACCATTTGCGTTGTAAAAATTTGGAAATAATATTTAAAAAATGGGAAATCAAAAGCAATTATTAAAATTTTATTTGGTTTTTGTAGTTTTAAATATTGAATTTTTTGAATTAAAAAAAAAAGTATATTTCCTTGCTTGGTTAATCATTTTTATTTGCAACTAGTTTCGGTATTTAAAATACCATCTATGTTTGTGTACTATAATGATTTATTCTATATGTTTATCTTATCCCATATTTTTAAAAGATTTTCTTAACTTACATTTTTGCCTGAAAATGGAATTTTAAAATGGGGTTTCGGCAAGTTTAACATTTAATTTTATATACAGCAATAAGAAACTCATATTTTTATAGGAAATTGAACGCTGTACAAAAAAGCATTCTTATGATTTTTTCATAAATTCACTGATTTAAAAGATATTTAAGGTTAAAGTTAAACTTGTAGTAATTTTTTTTATTTTTTTTACTTTGACTGTAAAATTATAATTATTTTTATGAAAATGAATTGTTTATTTTTGAAAATATGTGATTTTATTGTATTATTAAAAAAAATTATTGAAAAGAGATAAGTGAAAATAATCGACAAGAGATTCCGATAAATTTAATTTTTTGTATTACATTAAACGAATCTGGTACTAGTTTTACTTGATTACATAATCTTTTTATTTTTGTGAAATTCTACAAAATTTTATACGATTTTATAAAATATTATACAATAAAAAGTTTTCCTTCAGCACAGCTAATGACGTAGAAATTCTTTTAACAAGTATTTTTACGACAAAATAAAATTCGTAGTTACGCATAGGTTGTCTTGAGTATGAGATGCAGACATTTCTGCTACATCAATTATCCTTTTCAAATAAGTTATCTACTTCTACATTGACAAGCTGTAACTTTATGGCGCTTTAGTCACGGGCTGAAGTTGGCAATAAGTAGTGGCCTTTGGGCATTTTAGTCACGGGCTGAAATTAGCTTTATTATATATTAGAGAAAAGTGACAGATGCCAAATGTGTAACAAATATAATTGGCTTTAAATTCTTCTTTGTGTTCGTCGTAGATAAAGTATACTTAGTATGCAACTCGTTTTATAAACTTATCTAGACACTCGTTTTTAATCAGCCTCGCTCGTGCCTAATAAAACTCGTAACTAAAATATCGTTTACAAAACTTGATACATAATACCTATAATATTATATAAAAGATGCCACAGACGGTGGGTGATTGACCTACTTCAAACTTCAACTTTGCGACACGAAATCTGTGAAGTGCCTTCTGTAGTCAAAGTACATAATCATACTTTAGTGCGCATGCGTAACTACACATTTTATTTTTTTGTAAAAATAATTGTTAAAAGAATTTCTACGTCATTAGTTACAGCTGAAGGAAAATTTTTCATTGTATAATATTTTATAAAATTTTGTAAAATTTTACAGAAATTAAAAGATTATGTAAAAAAAGTAATCGTACTAAATTTAAGTAAAACTAGTCTTTTAATGTAATTTTTTTTTAATTTATCGGAATCTCTTGTCAATAATTTACACTTATCTCATTTCAATAATTTTTACTTTTTCAATACCTAATGGAATAAAATAACATATTTTCAAAAAATAACAATTTATCTTCATAAAAATAATGATAATTTTGCAGTCAAAGTAAAAAAATCTAAAATATTACTATAAGTTCAATTTTAACCTTAAATAACTTAAATAAATAAACCAGTGAATTTATCGAAAAATTATAAGAAAGCTTTTTTGTACTGGTTCAATTTCCTATAAAAATATGTACCTATGTGATTTTCTATAAATTTTAATAAAAGATAAAAAAAAATGTCAAAATTTAAAATTTATTAATAAAACGTATAAAATAGACATTGGTCCATGAAAATACTTTTTTTGTTACGGGAAAACGGAAATATTTTTATCTAAGTAGTAATTTTTATTTATATGGCCCATTATTGTATACAGAAAAACTATTTTAAAAATTAAAAAAAATCATAATAAACCTTACGAATAGTTATCCGGCCCTGTGCGCGTAAATGCACCGGGCATGGTGTACGCACAAAAAAAATTAATAATTCAAATGTGAAATAATCATCAACCCCTATGTATACAACGCGTATATATTTGTATGGGCGTTGTATTTCATGTGTTTGACAAATGATGCAGTGCCAGAAGGGGGGCCTTTGTATCCTTTCATCCCCCCACGAATATCTAATTATGCTGATTTAATTGATTTTGGTCATTTTCGCTAAGCTGACCCGAAGTGTCCGCACTTTCATGCTAATTTCCGGTCTTTGTGTTTTAAAATTAATTTTCCTACGCGGTGTATTTATTTTGTAGGTTTATTTATTTTGGAGATTATGTACACAAGCCGGCGCGAAATTGCCGGATTAAATGTGGATTTATTATTTAATTTGGTTGGGTTAACGTGTTTTAAAATACGCTAATTAAGTTTCTGGTGAAGTATTAATTTTAGGGTTTATTTTTTCTAACACGAAATTTAAAAAATCTTTACTCACAGTATCGTTTTGTACTCGTTAAACCCTTTCATTTAATACCCATGTCAAGGAGGTTGTAAAGAAATGGGCAACCCATCTTTCAGCCACTCATTTCTTACGCCACGAACATACAGACGCCTTAGTTAGGACTATCAACAGACAGTTTTACTTTTTAATCAAATGTTGTTTCTTTTGGACTGATAGTGATATTAATTACATGTTTTTTTCAAATTATTTCAGAGAGAATCAGCGAAAAAAGATGCTGATCGCGAAAGACTACTACACGCCGAAAGCGAGATCAGGACCAAGCAGGCTCTGCTCGAAGCTGCACGATGTAGATCCAGGCTTAAGCTACTTACCAGCGAATTTTCGAGGTAAAATAATAGATAGAAAAAAATATACACCAATATGGAACAAATTTATTAAAAATTCTTATTTTGTAGAATCTCTAAAGTAATCGGCCATTTTTTAAAATTGTACCCCCCTCTTTTTTTATTCCAATAGATTATGAAATTGTGATTTCAGCAATATGCACATGTATACTTTTTGGGCTGATAGTTTCGGAGATATTATACAAGGTGTCCCTAAACTTAGTGGCATAAATTTAGGAGCGGATTAAACAAGTCAAAATAATACGAAAATCTAAATAAATATTTTTTTTTAATTACGTATGTTCGAGATTATATATCGACAATTATTGTAATCTCGAATATCTCGGAAACGGTTTATTTTATCGAAGTTTGATAAGTAGGTACACCTTATAAATGGTAGCTAGCCGAACTGTGTAATCTAAAAATTGCATCAAATGTTATAAAAACCTAACCTCAAAGTTTGTATGGGACAATAAGCTTAAAGCAACTCCCGTTTCTATGACACTGTGTTCACTCAAACAATTTTAATTATTTGTGAATATGTGTTTTGGTAGTAAGTGACTGTTCGCAAAATATCACTTCCAAGACTACCATAGTAAAGGTTATATTAAAAAAACTGATATGATAAGTAACACTTTATCACCCTGTAAGTGACTGTTCGCAAAATATCACCTTTCCAAGACTACCATAGTAGAGGCTATATTAAAAAAAACTGATATGATAAGTAACACTTTATCACCCTGTATCTTGGAATCATAAGTAATTAGGAAAAATATTTATTTGGGTTTTCGTCAATCTTTTCCTAAATTTATGCCAATAAGTTTAGGGACACCTTGTATATTGCAATTGAACAATTTATAGTTTTTAATAATATTTTCATGTTTTATAATTTTTATTAAAATATATAATAATATAATATAATAAAGTTTTGATAAAATTAAAAATTGGATATAAATAATTAGAACCAAATAAATACAGTGTCAAAAAAAGTAGGGCTAAGGCTTTTATTCCACTAATATATTGATTTAAGGGTCAATTAAAAATATCACAATTCTCTTCAATTAGATTTTAACTCCGACACATTGACTTTATAGGAGAATTTTTTCGTTTATTGGTATTTGCAGCTTCTACATAGAAAGCTTGGTGATACCTAGAATTTAGTCTTGAAATATGAAATTTTATTTTTAAGAGAATATCGGGGTCAAAAATTATACCTTTGGCATTTCTTCTACGTATGTCCAAACTTTTCATGTCAAAGAACATTAAATCACCAACATAATAAAAAAAAAACAAGACTAGGTAACAGAGATATCTACAAAACTTTCTTTGAATTTTTTCAATATCAATATAAATGTCATAAAATGGTGACCAAATGACGCAGGCATATTCAAATTTACTACAAATATAAGTAAAGCGTAATATAGGATTTTCAAAGTATCTAGGTTTTTAAATTATTTGGTGTTACCTACCACAGCTAACATTTTGTTAGCTTCTTTTATTACAAGATTTATATGAGGAACGAATGACAAAGATTTGTCAAAAGTAACGCCCAAGTCTTTAATTGTTTCAACATTTTTTAAGGTTTCACATTATTTATTTTATAATTAAATACATTATTGTGGATTTTTTTTAGAAAACCTCATAACGTAACATTATTCAATGTTCAAAATTGATTTCTGTCACTCCAGTTATACAGATTATTAAGGTCATTCTGAAGGTACAGGTAGTCATTATGCGATGTAATAGCTCTAAATACTTTAAAATCATTAACAAAGATCAGGAACAATAAAGGTCCAAGATTGCTCCCTTGGGTAACTTCACTCATTGCACAACCAAAACCGAATTTACATAGTTTATGCAAAAGAATATTATGCTGAATTTTATCAAAATATACCATTTGGTTTCTATGCGCGTCCTGTCCTTACTTTTTTGGCCAGCGATATCTCCATATCTCACCCTTCTTGATTATTCCTTATGGAGCTACCTTAAATCAAAGGTCTACATCAACAGACCACAAAACTTAGAAGACTTAAAAAATCATATTCGTAAAGAATGTCGGTTTATTACTAAAAAGCATTTTCATTTGTTCCATAGTTTTGTTGGTCACTGTATATGGTTTGGAAAAAGTGACAGATCATCGGTCAAAGAGTTTAATTTTTAAGTGCATTCATAATGGATAATATTGACTCACATTCAGGTCAAAATATAAATATTTTAATGGATTATCGCCTGACAATATATTTACATTTGTTTATTAAATAATTGTATAATTTGGATAATGGCCCATTGTACTCAAAATTACAGTTAATTTTAACACTTCATTCCGTAAATATTTGAAACAATTAATCTTCTTTAAAAATAATATTTTAATATAAAAAAAGTTAAAATCCAAAATCCTTAATTTTTCAGAATGGAAGAAACAGTACGATCAATGCTGTCCTACAAGAAGCAAGTAGAACAACTCCGTCAAGAAAAAGCAGCCATCACTCTAGCCTACGAGGTAATTATCTTTCATGCTCATCGAAATTGACGATTCTCCCTTAATCTGAACTGCCCTTTCCTCAAACGAAATCCTTGTAATTTAATCTTTCATAACGTCGTTTTGCATAACAATTTAAAATTATTATTCACCCTTCACAGCTAACCCATTAACTGTTCATTTAATTTTCTCAAGATTTCCCTTTCTACTGCAGAGTTTTCATTTCGTTTCCACTGCCATTCAAATCCGTTTGTATGGAAAATCTTTTCCATATTAAACACAGCGAAACAAGTCAAGGGTGAAACGAAATATGATTATCGCCCTCCAAGATTTACTTGCATGAATGACTAACCGATCGAACTGGAAAGCTAATTTTAGAATCCTATCTCTGACCAAAACATTTTCAATTGCAGAACCGTTGTCAGCAATACCAGGTCACAATAAATCGACTCAATGTCGAAATTTCGAATCTTCGAGAGCAACTCGAGGATATGGCAATAGACAAAAGCCCCGAAGGCGTTCTACAATCGCAGACGATGGCTCTGCAAAGGCACGCAGAGGAAGCACGAAAACAGTACGAACAATGCTTGGACGATGTGGCCAATCAGGTGGTCAGGGCTCTACTTGCCCAAAAAGTAAGTCTATGATCAAAATTGGCTCAAACCCTGATAGCACACTTTATTCTAAGAATGTTTTTTAAACCTTCCAGTGAGAATATTCTTAGGATTATGCTATATTTCTTCTAAAGAACATGCTTAAAAGACATATAGCATTATCCTAAGAATATTCTTACTGGCCTATAGGCAGGTTCTTAGAAGGTGCAAAGTTTTAGTGGTAAAAATTAGTCTACTCTAAACATATGCTTAGAATGTTAAGAAAGTAATTGCTATAGAAATTTCATTTAGGAATATTCCTGTTAAGCATATTTAGTTCAGTTACCTATATAAAAGTAAAATATACCATAAACTACGTATAAAGGTATATACCTATACTTAAGTACCTAATTAGTAATTAGTATTAAATACTCAGTAAAAAACACAATCCATAATATTTTTTTTAGTTATTTGTCAAATTAAAACAATATTCGATAACAAAAATACTTTTACTATAGGTATTTTATTTTATGTTAAAAATAAATATTTATTTATTAATTTGTATACCGATTTTTTATTACTAAATTAACATTTTTATGTATAATAATCCTAACTATATTCAATTTCAATCTAATCTGCCTTATCCCACAAAGTTTTGCAATTTTACTTTTTATGAAATAATGACATATAACTAGAGGTCAAATTGTTTATTTAATATTTTTAAATAAATATATATTAATCGCAAAGTTTTTTAAGGGGACGACAAATACATTTCACATATTATGACAGTGAGGCGTATTTGTCGCCTCCTCGTCACCCTAATATAACAAGGTTGTATGTTAAAAAAAAACGAAAAATTTAAGTCTCTACAGGATTATACGTGGCCTACGCTTCACATACCACTTAAAAATAATTCTATAGAATGTATATTCTATTAGGGTGCTTTTTTTCACAACTATTTTTATTTTTTCGCTCCCAACTCAAAATCTTGTTGAAAATGTTCAAAAAAAATTCCCTGAAAATTTGAACCCTTAATATTAACTCAAAGTACTCTACCAAAGCGTATAAAGATTTCACATTTAAAATACACGTAAACTTTGATTATTTTTTTTAAATATCTATATCTCAGACGCATTTTATGCTATTGGATTGTTTCAAAAAAGGATTTACTCGTAATCAAAAGTTCTACAAAAATTCTTTATGTATCATAGCTGTAATCTGCACCTGTAGGATGGTATATTATACATGTATAAAGCGTTTACATTGACATTTTATGAAATTTTCAGAATTTTCGTACCAAACTTTTTATAAATGATGATTTTCAATTGTTTATCAGTACAATTTCATGTAATTAAGTTTTTCCTACAGTCGGGTGATTAGAGAAAAATAAATAACTAAAACAATCAAGCCTAATAATTATTATTAATAAAATAACATGTTGTATGTAATACAACACATTTTTAGGTTAGATATATCTTTTCTTTTTAAAGTTATGTTATTAATAATTATGCTTAATTGTTTGAGTTATTTATTTTTCTCTAATCACCCGAGTGTAGAAAAACGTAATTAGATGAAATTTTACTGATAAACAATTAAAAATCATCATTTATAAAAAGTTTGATACGAAAATCCTAAAAATTTCATAAATTGTCAATATAAACGCTTTATATCTCAACAAATATCAATCTTAGCGATTCAACTGATAGGACCTTTTTTTTAAAAAATTAAATTTTCTACAAGTTTGTTCTTTACATTTTTTCAAAGAATCCAGTCACCCTAATATTCTATGTATACATATATATAGAGTTATTTTCAAGTTGTATGTCAAGGGTGGATTACATAAAACCTTGTAGAAGCAGAAACTCAAATTTTTCGGTTTTTTTAACATACAACCTTGTTATATTAGGGTGACGTCCTGAAGAATTTTACGAATGTAGAATACAACATAGAACGTGGGTATCTGACATATTTGGAAATATTCTCAAAAGCTTCCTAGAAGCTCCATAAGAAACCTTCTAAGAACATTCCAAACACGTATTCTTAAAATGTTCTTAGGAAGGTTTTAAGGAGCTTTTAAGAATCTAATTGCACCATTAAAAGGGTATCTATTGAATGTTTCAAAAGTCCCTAAGAACATTCTTAGCAATAAGGGAAGGTTCTAAGAATATTCCATTATTCCGGGTCGTATCTTCTTAGAAGATTCTTAAAATCAAATTTTGCTATCAGGGAAATAATAAACAAACAAAAATCTGTTTTTCAGGGTTTAAGGGAGGAGGTGGGGACTTTGAACTTGAAAATCAAGGAGCTGGAAAATCAGAACCGCGCCCTCACCTCAGTGTTGGTTCATCAGTTGCGAGGCGGCGATGCGTCTCCATCTATTAATACGGAAATTGTGATATCCCCCGACAAAGAGGCGAAAACTAGTCTGAAACACTGCAACTCTTTCAACTCGGAAGTGCTGGAAGACCAAGACAATTGTGATATTGAACGAAATTTGAGCGAAAACAATCTAAGGGCCTTATCTGAAATGATGGGTAAGTTTTACAGTTGTAACGAACGGGGCAAGGGGGGCACACATTAATAATTAGAAAGAATATTAAAACCACAAAAAAACTACCTTTGGCCAAAACACGTGATCGTCTAGTTTAAAGAAATTAAGTTAGGACCCCTTTTTGTTGTGAATACGGTTCTGGATACGTAAGTACTTGAGCAATTGAAAAGATATTTAAAAAGCAAAGAAAAAGTATTAAATTAAAATAAGTTTATTAATAAAGGTAATTAATACAAGAGTTAATATTATTGCTACTGTACATTAATAATATAAATAAAAGCATTTGTATTTGAAAAGTATCATTGATTTAAGTTAATAAGGTAAAACCTTAAAAACCCACATATACAATACAGACATGCATATGTCGCACATCTCAACAATATAAATAATACAACAAAATCAAAGTAATCAATATGAATATAATCAATTATATTATCATATTGCTAAGATTATTCACCTACATAAATGATAGGTTCGGACGGTGTAGAAAAGCAGATAAAAATTGAAATAATTATCAATGTACAGCAACAAACAACAACAATGTGAAACATAAAGTATAATATAACTTAGGTCACAAACAACAATAATAAAGGGTAGTTGTATAAATATAATATTTAAATAACAAGTGGTGTAGTGGTGGACAAGAGTTATGCAATAAAATTGTACAGTCATAAATAACAAATAAAGTCAGGTATAGTCAAGTAATACCTAAAACATGTCAGTGCAAATCAAATATAGTAAAATAAAATGATTATCAATAATAATAAAATAAGACAATGTCACAAAAACTCACATCATGGGCCCTACCTAGCATTCATTGTCAAGATGGGTGAATTGATAATTATAAGTCTCCGGGCTCGATCCCCTCGACCGTTACCAACACCGTTAAACAATAAAAGAAAATTCTAACAAGTGTTTGTTGTGGCGAAATTGCAACAAAGCCTCAACATATTAAATAATGAATATCAATTTATCAAATAAATAAAATAAGATAAACTGTACAAAATAAAGTATGTAAATGTTAAATATAAATATGTAGTAAAATGTAAAATTACATTACAATATAATATGTTAAAGTAAATGTAATATAAATATAATAATTATAAACATAAAATAATGATTATAATAAATTTGTAATTTGGTTTGTCCCACAACAACCATTAAGAAACAACAATTCAGCTTATTTCTTCTTTCACAAAGAACAAGCTGAAATAATAATAATAATAATAAAATATAGTTTAAATTAAATATTAAATAATTAACCACTCATTATGACATTTGTGACCTTAGATTATAATAATTAAATATAGAAAAGGCATACCTATTTAAATGAACAACACTTTTACAAAAACTGAATTTATATAAAAACAATGTATTATTGGTTAAATTCAGTCCCTTACAAAATTAAAGAATTCAACTCGTCCCTTCAAAAAGTAAAACGTAACTGTCTAAATATACTGCCTTCTCTAGGTTTTTAACACGCTATTTTTATGTTTATTTTTTAAGACTAGGAACAAGAACCAATACTTGCTTATTTGGTCTTTCTGTCTCGAGTGGTCGTCCAGATGGGACTCATAGTGGTCGTCCAGATGGGACTCATAAATTATTATTGTATAATAAACAAATAAAGAATGTATGGAATTCTAAAGTAAAACTTATACCTAACACCTAATATAATTTTAAAACAAATATTTAAATTTAATATAATATTTCGTAAAGCTTAAAAACTTAATCTAACAAATGTTATAAATTAACTGCCCCATATATCGTCCCATTACACAGTTTTGAACGAACTGAAATTTTATTGAAAAATTATTGATTTATTTCAGACACTAGATTATCTTTAGCAGACAAAAAGAGACACCAAGTGCTTAACAAGTTGTGGACAGAACTGAAGGGGAGTGAAATAACGCCAAAGAAACTCATAGAAGCTTTAAATAACGTTGACCCGTCGTTGTGGGTACCCCCGAAAAGGCCGGTCTCTCTAAATTTGCACCTCCCCATATTCCAATCGACGAAGTGCCGACGGATTCGACCTGTTTTGGCACAAAGCGTGAGCAAAACCGAGGATGAGAACACCGGAAGTGATTCCCCCGAGAGCGGAAACAGAGACGAGGGATATTCCACGATGTCTTCCGACGTGCAGGACTTAAACAGGGATAAGGATACGACTTTGCCGAGGATATGTCTGGAAGATTTGAAGGAAGCCAGCGACGAGGCTGATCAAGATAATAATAGACTGATAGTTCCTGATGACGAGCCCGATATATTTTACATTCCTTTTAACTTGCTTAAGTTCGGCCAAAGGTAAGATATTGCTCTTCAATTGTACTATCTTTACGTGATGTTTTTTAGAAATAGTTTTCCCCCCTGCAAAGAGTACCTTCCGTTTCAACACGCGATGAGAAGTTTATCCGATTCGCATCTGTGCATCAAAATAACGACGGCTCCTACTCCTTGCTACACGTTTAGCTCGCCTATTTCCAGTAGCCCTTCCATTTTGCTACTAGACATATCGGAAAAACCCAATCCTTTGAGAAGAACAAGGGGAACCAGCAACTTATGGGGTAAGACTCTTTGTAAATGAATACTGAAACTAAATTTTCCATTCCGAACCACAACTAAATTATCTTCCTAGGAATTAAAAGTTTTCCGGTTTTAAACTTTGCATCTCATGTTGCAATCTAACTAAAACTGAGTTTCTGTTTTCTAAAGAACAATAAATAGTTTTTCGGGTTTTAAACCGCGTATCCACATAACACAAAAATATAGATTTTTTTATAAATATTAGTCATTATCATTTAAGTACCTCTAAAATGTTTCCAGCAACTTATGGGGTAAGACTCTTTGTAAATGAATACTGAAACTAAATTTTCCATTCCGAACCACAACTAAATTATCTTCCTAGGAATTAAAAGTTTTCAGGTTTTAAACTTTGCATCTCATGTTGCAATCTAACTAAAACTGAGTTTCTGTTTTCTAAAGAACAATAAATAGTTTTTCGGGTTTTAAACCGCGTATCTACATAACACAAAAATATAGATTTTTTTATAAATATTAGTCATTATCATTTAAGTACCTCTAAAATGTTTCTACATAATAATAATAATAATAAGTTTATTGTGAAAAAAGTACATTTCACAATTGGAAAGAGTTCAGCCATGCTGATCTTCCACTCTCCCATGTATACAATACAATTAAATCAATACAAATAACAAAACTTAATTATATCCTAAACATTATGCTACAGATTTACCATTAATAATACGATTTCAACTAAAACAAATAAAAAAGGAAAATAACAAAAATTTCAAATGCAAGAAAAACTAAATGGTTTAAATAATTTAAGTATTAAATTTTTTATATCCAGCTGCACATTTCTTACATACATTTTACAAGCTTTTTAAAATTAGGTTCTGATAAGCTCAAAAAACTGAACAAATATTTTTTACCTTATATTTTATTAATATTTCCTCAAAATCACAAAAATATTTTTAAAATTTTTACAGTTGGAGGCTAAAAAGAATTTTAATTTAAACTAAAGTCTTCGGTTTAATCCGCTCAGGGAAAATACTTTTTTTGTTTTTCAAAATTAACAAACAATAATATTTTTGGTTTTCTAAGCGATTTTATTAGGTTTAGGTTTGTTTTTTGCTAGTAAGAAATTTACCGATAGAATAATCGTCTTCAATACACTGCCATTCATAAATAGAAATAAAAATCAAAACAATAAAAATAAATATAAAACATACCTCCAGCCGAAAGGATTATCTGGAAAATTTATTATTTTTACTTAGCGTCACAATTGAAACATACGCAACAAAGTAAAAATGACCGAACTGAAGCTTTAGCAGAAAACTTTTAATGGACTTTTTAAAAAGATTATAAATATTGTTAAATAACTTAACAGTTTTTAGGAAATAGTATATATAATAATAATAATAATGAATTTTTAAAAAGTTTATAAATATTTTTAAAGAACAATATTTACTTAAAATTGCGAAATAAATGTTGAAAAATATTTCAGTGATATTTATTAATGTTTTAGAAATATTTACGCGTTACAGTTATAAACATATTTTTCCCTGAATGATTGTACATTTCATCAACCTTTCATTTATAAATATTGTTCTCCAAATGACCTGACAACATTTTTACAGACCTGGCAAATATCATTATATTTATATAAATATCCAAATATCTGATATATATCGATATATATCCGATATATGTATATCAAAATTTTAAGGTTTATTTTTTTTATTTTAACTATTTTTTGCTTAGAGAAGTAAAGATATATGTTTAAAATTCAAAATTACTTAATTTAGTATAATTTTAAAATTTTATAAACATGTCAATTCTATTCTATTCAATGAAAGTTTTTTTAGTACTAGTATGAATAGAAATGTAAAATGTAGGTTCCCAGAATTACTGGGCTTGTTAATTAAATTAAAATGAACCCAAACTGGATTTTTTATTTTTGCCATTGTAAAATTTTTATATGATAAAACAAACAGCAAAATATTGATCCGTTTAATCAGAAATCGGAAATAAAAATCCTGGCTGCTCGCGGCTAAGAATAAATTAACAGGTTTCTCGGAAAGACGGGAAATCACCGCATCGTTAGCCAGGGTTCGAAATCATGATTTAAAATTTTTTATAAAAAAAATCAACAAAAAATTGTTTTTTTGATTAAAAATAACTTGACTATAATAATAATTGGCACTACTTTATCAACAAATAAACCACCGTCCGCAACTTTCATATATTTTTGTGTATATTCCTTTATTATTTTATTTAACCAAATAGGCAGTTATTCTATGCATATGAACTTATTTAAATAGTGTCATTATTATTGTGCTTTAGTTTTTAGATTTTTTAAGTGTTTTTTTTTAATTTTAGAAACTTTTTTAAACTGATTTAAATTCATGATATTTATTAAGATATATATCAGGATATTTATCACTGATATCATTTTTCAAACATACTGTGTTATGTCAAATGTCAAATATTCTATTTGACGTTTCGACAGCCATGTTGCTATCTTCTTGGTAAAACTGAAACTAAGTTTTAGCTTTCTGAAGAAGAATTAAAAGTTATTTGGGTTTTAAACCGCGTGTCTCACAATTATTCTATTTGACGTTTCGAAAGCCATTTTGCAGTCTTCTTCAGAAAACTGAAACTGATTTTTGGTTTTCTGAAGAATAATTAAAAGTTTTTCGGGTTTTAAACCTCTCATTCTCTTTAGAAATTAAACCCGCGGTTTAAAACCCGATAAACTTTTAATTTCTAAAGAGTACGATCGCGAAAATCGCCCTAACGGTACAATTATCCCCGTAGGATTCTCAAATTTGGAAAAAACCGACGAAAAATCGTCGCAGCTCTCTTGGTACAGCACCGAGGACCAGCTGGAGTGCACGAATTGGGATTCGGAATACATCCAGCACTGGTTGAAGCTGGACGAAACCAGATCGTCGGTGCAACAGCAGCACAGAGACCTGTTGGAGCTCGAATACGACAACGCCGAGCTGGAAGATTGGAGTCTGGACTTGTCCAACGACGATTTGAGGGAGCAGTGGAAGAAGGACGCTTCCACACCAGGGCAGTTGTCGGTTTCCACGTTGCCGAGCATCCAGGAGAACAACGCTTTGGAGCTGGAGGAGGATTCCAACGAGTGTCTCTGGAACAACTCCAGCTACATGGCGGATAAGGAGGGGAGAGAACTAGTCACCTTGCTGATGGATACCACCAATGGGGAGCAGCAATGGCCCTACGCCGTATCGAGCGTGGTCCAACAGAATTTAATATCGCCCGATAACAGTTGGTCTAGCGGTTCGGACTGCAATTCTTTTGAACCTGACACCTGCTCTAAAAGATCATCGGCTGCTCTGAGCGGTTCCAGCGATGATACAGGGGAACTACCGGGGATTGGAACCGACTTTACGCGGGATTTTTACAGGTAAAAACACTTATTAATTAAAAACTAATAGGTATAATATTAGGTAGGTAGAACTAACAAAATTTTAACTAGTGTATTTTTCACAAACTCAAGTGGAATCTTCTACTGTATGTTCTACAGGTTTGTGGTGTTTTTTGTGAAACCAAGCTGACTTTTCAATTTTTCTTTGTCATGCCAGCAAACTTCAAAATCGGCACTCTTTTGAAATTTGTTGTTCCAGTGTCTGACTGACTATATTATATTGTTTTGACTTGGCCTTTTAAACATTTCAAATCTGTTCCTTCCCGACTCTCTTTATTACATTTACGCTTCTATTAGAGTTAAACTGTGACCAAATGTGAAACACATGAGCATGTTAAGAAAGGCACACCCTGTTACAATTTGCTTACCGAGTTATTTTCATTAAATCATCCCTAAAAATTATTAAAATTAAAATTACAATACTTAAAAAAGGTACTGCTTTCTAAAGCTTATAGCATGGCTTACGACTATACAAGCCAAAACAAATCAGTGAGGTCCAAAAGTGTGGTGGATGAAGGGAAAGTTAGTAAGTTATTTATTACTTGTTCTTTCCTTTAAAAAAACGTTATATCTATAGGTTAAGTTGACATTCTTAAGACAGCCCTGGCCAATTTATTAGAATTAGTAAAATACTCAAGAAATTTTCACAAAAATGCATTTTGGAACGATAAAAGTGATTTTATGAATGGATTCGCGTTAAAAACGCTTTTTAGAAACTCCTTTTTACGATAAAATTTAAATTAAGAACTCATTTTTGCTATAAAACTGATTAAATATTTAGATGTGTATTTAATTATGTTTTAATCAAAGTTTTTCTGACTTATATTAATTTTATAATGTAAGACTAAAATAGACCAATAGGTACTTTTTTAATTTCAATTTTATCGTAAATATTTTTATATATGTATTTTATCATCGTAAAAAGCTTTTTTAACGCAATTCTAATAAATTGGCCAGGGACTCTGGTTGACATAAAAACAGATGTTTTTCAATTTAAGGCAATATAAACAAACATTTTTAAAATAATTAACAAATGAAATTAATATGGGTAATTTCTTAAATGGGACCAATATTGGACATGTTGGATTAGGCTTAAATTTTGTATATTTTACTAAAATAATTTAGTACTTGTTAAATATATTCTAATTAAAATTAAAGAAAACATTTTTGTAAAGGAATTATTTAGGGGGTATTTTTTAAATTTTTTTGATTGAAAAGTTAAAATAAAAACTTATACAAAAGCGAGGGTAAAAATTTTGTCAAAAAGCAATAATATACACATTCACATTCGTGGTCCCTTAGAAGTTTCTTGGGAACAAAAAAAGATATCGATTTGCGTTTATAATCCATTTTTCTAAAATATTTTAAACAAAATGACAATTGTGACTACTATTTCAAATATATTTTAACATTTTTAAGTTGTACATAAAATTTCTATCCCATGTCATATAAATATGTACATAAAATGAATAGTTTTCAAGTTATTATTTTTTTTCCTTAAAATTTGTTAATGGGCGCGCGTTACTCAAAAATAGCCCATTTTTTGTTATTAGGTTTGCAAATATGGTGGTAAAATTGTTGGAATCCTAAAACATTGTTTAAAATATTCCTTTTCAATTCTTTAACATTTTTCAACAAATCCCAGGGCAAATTAGGCTAACTTAAAAGGTTAATAACTTTTTTATTTTTATTGGAACACCTGGTATGTTTTTACATAATCAAATAGAAAATTAAAAAACCTTTCAATTAAAGTTACTGTTCCCTATACCTAAAGAAGTTAATAATTTCAGAGATATTTAACAATTTCTCAAATTTTCAAGAAAGGTATTATATAGAACATGGAGTGTTATTTGAAATAATAAGTTGATGTAACTTCCGGTTAAACCGCAAGTGGCATTATGTTTAAAATATTTTAGAAGAATAGACTTAAATGGATAAACGCTTTTAAAATTTCAAGTCGGTATATTTTTTTGTTTTCCAGAAACTTCTAATGGACAACGAATGTAAAACACCCTGTATATATATACTCGTATATGTGATTTAATAAAAAAACAGTTTCCTAGAGTAACTTTAGAACTATTTAAGCTAGAAACATAAAGTTTGGTAAAGGGTGTTTTCGTATAAATGAGACACCCCTCTAAAATCTTTATTTGAACAGATATTTAAACAAAAAAACAAAATAGCATAGGTAAAATTTATAAAATATATAACATTGTTTTTTGAATATTTAAATAGAGTTTTTTATTCTAAGCAATTTTTTTGACATCTCTTCTAATAAAGATTTTATAGGAGTGTCCTATTTATAAGAAAACACCCTGTACATGTGTCGAGTTTGTTAGTAACTTACATTTTGCCAAAAATTAAATATATGGGTCATTCCTTTTAAAAGTTATTATTTTTTTACAAGTTTAAATAAAAAGAATTGGCATAATATTCACATTCAAGGCTCCATCACTTTTAATTTTTTGTTTCCCATGAATATTTTTTATGAGTATAAACTAATAATAATAATAATAATATTTATTCATCAATCAAACCAGGTACATTTAAGCATAAAATACATGGTTTATGTGACTAGTCAAAAAAACACAATGTGAATAAGAATTTACATAAAATATGGTGAAATTTAAAAATATACCTACGAATAAATTATTAATTAATAGTATAAAAGAATAAATAAAAGAACGCAAATCTAAAATATAAAGCACATTTTAAAAAGAATCATTAAAAAATTGTTCAATATTGTAATACATTTTATCATGAAATATTTCTGTTAATCTTTTCTTTAAAACAATTCTACTCTTACATTCGACGATAACATTGTACATTTTGTTATAACATTTTATACCCTGATAAGTGTGGGATGTTTGGGAAATATGTAATCGTGAAAATGGAAGTCTAATATTATTTCTCTCTCTAGTATTGTAATTATGAATTTCGTTATTCTTAGAAAAGTTATCGATATTATCATGCACATATAAAATTAAATTTAAAATATAGAGACATGGAAGCGTAAGTATTTTATATTTTTTAAACAACAATTTGCATGAATATGTTGGACCCTTATCATCCATAGTTCTTAAAACCTTTTTTTGTCTAATAAAAATTTTATTAAAATGTGCTGACAAACCCCAAAAGATAAGTCCATAGTGTAAGTGGCTTTGGACAAGTCCAAAGTACATTAGCCTTAAGACTTCATACGATACACTGTCCTTTAGAGATCTTATAAGAAAGCAAACAGAACTAAGTTTTTTATCGAGAGCCTGTATATGGTTCTCCCAAGTTAATTTTGGATCCAATGATATTCCTAGGAACTTAATATTATTATCTACTTCTATAAGTTTATGACTAATTTTTATAAGAAGATCAAAGTTATTAGTTAGATTTTTTTGCATAAATCTCATTTGAAAAGTTTTGTTAGTATTTATTAATAGTCCATTATTTCTACACCAAACATAAAATTGCTCAGAAGAGTCTGTTGCAGATTTTGCTAAGCTATCAATGCTGTTTTCTTTAAGAATTATGTTAGTGTCATCTGCATAGAGGACAATTTTGTTATTTATGGAGGATAAGCAAGAAATATCGTTCATAAATACTATGAAAAACAAAGGTCCCAATTAATAACCTAATAAATTGTCATCCTTTGGGGTGATGATCAATTTTGCCTTGGAGTTTTTTAATACAAAAAATTATGAAATTTTTTGACAAAACCAGGAAGCCACTCGATTTTACTGCCCTATCCTATATATATATTAATTTTTTTACCTTTAAAAACAATGATATTATTCATCCAAGCAAAAAAGAAACAGTGTATTATGTAATATCAAGCAAACTTTTAAACTTATCCAAAATTGTTTAGTGACGGAAGTTGACACATTAGAACTTTTCAATGCAGCGGTAGATGGAATCCGAAATCATCCGGGTATGATGGCCATAGCGACACATCATAATTTTCTACGCCGCTGTCAACTTTGTGTGGATAATAACGGCGGTATAGTTTAACATTTATTTTGATTTTGTGGAACACTTAAAAAAATAGCTACATGTGCATCAATCGACGTAAAAAGTAAAAGGTGAAATTTACAATCGACGGAAAAAGTGGCGTCTCAAAATTTCAACTTCACTTATAAAAATGTTAATGATATTTTTATTAAAAAAAATATGGCACTCATGAAAAAACGTTCTTTTTTGGCTATAATTTTTTAGTTTTAAAGATGACAAAATTTTAACTCTCGCTTTAAAATATGTCTATTTTAGTACCGTATACAAAATTTGAATCAAATCGGAGGTGATGTCCTACATGGCTTTGAAAAATATTTACCCATACGACACTTTTGGACCTTCTCTCCCACCCTTTACCCAACAATAAATATAGCAAAACTGTAACAATTATTTGTTACAAGGTTGGTAAAATTCGAGAGCACAAAAAGCCTAGCATCTACATCCTCGAGAAGCCTGGCGGGAACGCTAAGCGAGAACGGCGATCGCGAAGCCCACCTGCAGAACGTCCTGTCGCTAAAATCGCTAAAATCGCGACCGTGCTCGTCCGTCGACATCACTAAAGAGTTCAACATAGAGGGCCCTGCGCAGCTGCAGGGCGATTTAAAGATCAGCGACAGCGAATACAGCATCCCGAAAAGCGACTCCAAGGGCAGCGACGACAACGAGAACTACGTCACGTTGAAGCAGCTGTGCGAAGAGTTTTCGATGAAGAGAGAGGTAGGGTTTAGACCAGGGTCGATAATTTTTGAAACCAAAAAAAATAACAGTAGGATGAAACCCATTGGAAAAGGAGAAGAATATAATAAAAATGAAAGGAAAAATAAATTACGGGCGATCTGACTTCGGGAAGTGGGAGGGGGGGGTTTAAGGGTAAAAAATGGTTTATCTCGATTTCCGGCAAAACTACAAGTCCTATGGAAAAAAGTTAAATGGCAAAGTTGTAGGTAATAAAAGAATCTACAACTTTTGTAATTACAATTTTTTTACATAACCTCAAAATTTATGTGAAAAATTTAAAAAACCAAGTTTTTGGTTTTTTATTTTTATCTTTTTCAAAATAAAAAATTTTTCCACGAAATTTGGTGAAAACTTTTTTATGTCCCAAATACACTGTAATTTATTTGATTTGAAATATTTATTATTTCGCCTTATTTTGACTTAATATCAAAAAAGCACCCTAATTTTCAATCGAAAATTCTCGCGTCAAATATCAGCTTTTTTCAAAAAGTCGGTGTGCTTTTTGTTCGTTGAAATCTCTACTTTCTGATAGTGTAAAAAATATATACATTACTATGGTAAATGTTCTCAGAAAATGCAAAAAATATTATAATGAATAACGAAAAAAACTCGAATTCGAACATTTATTTTAATCATTATGTACAATTTCATTAAAAAAATGTGATTGTTGCAATTTTTTTTAGTTAAAAAGTTTATTTATTAAATTCTAATAACATTTATGTCAGAAAATCTCATAAAATATAAAAATACATGTAAATCATACTATTGAATTTAGATACTTCATTCTGATTACGTTATTCATTATAATATGTTTTGTATTTTCTGAGAACATTTACCATAGTAATGTATATTTTTTTTACACCATCAGAAAGTAGAGAGTTCATGGAACAAGAAACACAACAACTTTTTGAAAAAAGCTGATATTTTGACGCGAGAATTTTCGATTGAAAATTAGGGTGCTTTTTTGATATTAAGTCAAAATAAGGCGAAATACTAAATATTTCAAATCAAATAAATTACAGTGTATTTGGGACATAAAAGGTAAGTTTTCACCAAATTTCGTGGAAAAAATTTTTGTTTGAAAAAGATAAAAATAAAAAACCAAAAACTTGGTTTTTTGAATTTTTCACATAAATTTTGAGGTTATGTGAAAAAATTGTAAATACAAAAGTTGTAGATTCTTTTATTACCTACAACTTTGCCATTTAACTTTTTTCCATAGGACTTGTAGTTTTGCCGGAAATCGAGATAAACCATTTTTTACCCTTAAACCCCCCCCTCCCACTTCCCGAAGTCAGATCGCCCGTAATTTATTTTTCCTTTCATTTTTATTATATTCCCCTTCTTTTCCAATGGGTTTCATCCTACTGTTTTTTTTTTCTCTTTTTACCATTTTTGAAGGCTTCTGCACTGGTCTAGTTGGGACAGTTGAAATTTTCAAATGAAAATTTCAACTTTGAAAGTTTCAAACTTGAAATATGGGCGAATTTTCGTTAAATGTACATTTTGTATATATATTTTGTCCAGGCAGGTCAATTTGATCGATTTTTTTTCCTTTGTGATAGAACAGTGTAATATACTGCAAAAAAATTCTATAAGTTTATAAATAACAAAAATAAACTTTAAAGAAATAAAACTTATAAGGTTAATCTGAAATAGGGAAGGAACACAAGGAAGAAATTAAACATTGTCCTCCTCCTAACGCATCTTCCTGAACGTTTTATGACACATTGCTTTTGACTTTTTCAAACGTTATTTTTCAGAAATACTGTTAAATGTAAATATCTTTCGGCATTTGTTTGGAATTTCTACTATGCTATAATACAAAATGAAAATAAAAAAGTTAACTTCTAAAACAAGAGTTTTATGTAGCGTTTTGTAAAAGACACCAAAAGTACGCAAAAAAATCTTACCTTTAAAATATTTATAAAAAAATTCACACACTTTACACGTGCTCACTTGTTGTTGCCGAACTATCAAACATGTATGCCCTCTGGAAATAACACGATAGTATCTCTATCTCGTGTCTCTATTTCGAAGCAGTCGGCATAGAAGACGACGTTAGGAAAAAGACAAGATTTTTGAATGTCAACTTTAATATTTTTTTCTGTTTAAACTACTTTGTAGAAAACTATTTTATTTTTATATACGAATAAAAGAACTTTCCATTGTTCAAAAATAATTTATTTTTTCAGAAGAAACCTGCAAAGAAGAAGAATATAATAATTTAAATTAAAAAATCGCCTCTGGGGACAGTTAGGTTACAGGACATTTCACCTAGTTTTTCTGCCATATATAGAAACATAAAGTAATTACAAAAAAAATACGATGGGTCCTAACAGGAAGGGGGTATTTAAATATAATAAATACAAAACTTATCAACAAAGGTCAAAAATAAAAATAAAATTAGCTGGGGACAGCAAATGTACATTTAACGAAAATTTGCCTATATTTCATTTAGTTGGAAAAGTGAAATTTTTAAAAATTTCAAATGAAATTTTCAATCCGAAAATTTCAACATTGCCTGTGAAAGTTTCAGAAATTTCATTGAAATTATAATTTACAACAGATTCCGAATCGACCAATAAGAACGAGTTATCAAGCGTCTGGGCGTTTTTGTTTAGTTCGGCTTGGATTTGAATACACTATAAGTAATTATTGTTACTTATATGCATAAATTAATTTAAATAATTTAATTCAGATACCTATTTAATTTGTAAATTAAATCAGACTTTAAATTTTTTTTAAAAGTCATGATTAATTTAAACTTTTACTTTTGCTATAATTGCATCGGAAAACGGAGAAAAAATGCCTTTGGCTCATAAAATTTTGATGAAGTTTCTTCAATTTTCGTAAAATTTCAGTAAAATATTTAAAAATAATAAATATATATAAATATAAAACAATGAAAGTGGCACAATCTCATTAGCTTACCAAAAAGTGCTATATCTCGTTTAGTTTTAGTAATTTTAAAAATATTTTAAAAGGAAATCTCAAGAAATTTGTGGTAAACATAGGTATTTACTATTTATATTATTGGTGCAGGGGCCCACAGAGGGGTAGGAGGTAAGAGAGGCAATTTGCCATGGTCCCCGAGTGGGCTTATTTCAATATTAATATATTACACTTAAAGTGATTGAAATTTATTGAAAGTTTCAATAAATTTCCTAAATTTCATGAAATTCAGAAATTTAGGAAATTTTAATAAATTTGACGCGTTTCTCGGAAAAATATCATTAGTCCAAAATTAACGTATTTGGGAAAATGAAAAAAACTCTCTGACATTCCCATTTTTGACCAAAGTACTTTATTGACCTATTTACTACATGTAAAAAAATGTAAGATACTTTGTCCAGAATTCGTCATGTTTGTATTTTCAAACGAATATGAAAAAAACACAAAAAATACATGAACATGTGAGGTTTTTAGAAGAAAAAAACAAACAATTCTCCTTACTACAAACACTACAAACTAAATACTAACTCTGAGTAACAAAATAAATGAAAAAACTAAAAACTGTATTACTGCCACACTCAGTCTTCGCATCCACTGCTGTTATCATCGTTGTCGACCGTGTTATCAGGACTGTCAGGTGCTATGGTCTTCTGCTCTTTTATCAAGTTTTATCATCATAAAATTTTCTATTGCTGTGGTAATGTAAAAGAGGTAGAAGCTTTTCTAGTGTCCAAAAACGTCACATGTTGTGTACATGTGACTTTCTTAGACGAAACGGAGTGGACTTGTGATGTTTTTAGAAGAACAAGCTAAATTTCATATTTAAATATTATGGAACCTATGATGTTTTTCCGAGAAACGCCTCATTTCATAAATGTCATGAAAATTTCAAGTGAAATTTCAAGTACAAGCAAAAAGTGAAATTTTCCCAACCCTAGAGAGAGGACGGCATCGCGGAGAGCATAAAGCAAAACATCGCGTACGCCGAGGAGATTTGCATCGTGACGCCGTTGGACGTGGAAACGGAGACGTGCTCGATGATCACGGAGCGGCCCGTGGACATCTGCAGCAGCGTTAGCGTCGAGTTGTCCAGTCTGGAAGAGCAAGAGCTGCAATCGCCGGTGGAGGAGAGTCAGAACGACGACTTGAACGACTCCGCCGTCCTCACGACGAGCGATATTAGCGATCAATCTTTGAACAACACTAGCGAGTCGCTGACGTCCAGTGTCAGCACGCCGGACACGGTGGTGTCTAAGATACCGCGCAGGAAGTTGACGCCGTCCAGGATACCTATAAGTCCCTCGAGGAATGTACAAACCAATCATAACAAAGAGAACCTGATCGATTCGAATGTACCAAAGATGAAAATGCAGCCCAAGAATTGTCGACCAAAGTTAAAGGTGAGTTTTTTATGATATTTTATTACATTATTATTATTATTCATTTTTTTTATCTGGACTGCGGCAACGTTGCAAATTTAGGGGTTTGGTTGGTAAATAAGGAACAAAAATTGGTTGCATTTTTTTTTTGTAAATGTAATTATAATGTATTGTAGGTTACATTGAACAGTTGTCAAGTTCGTAGTTAAAAATTCAATTAATTTGGCTTTGGTGGTGCTTAGATGAGTAAAATCATATAAAAAAATAGTTAAATATAGGTGACTATGGCCCAGGAGAGTCAAAATATCTCAGTTAGTAGGTATGCATTTTACGAAAAAATGTTTAAAATAAAAATTAAATGATTCGAGGGGGGAAATCAATCAGTACTAAAATTGGTCCTCATACTCTCCTCCTTATAGGGGGAACAGGGGGTAAATTTAAAATTTCCAATGGAACACCCTATTTTTTATCGCAGATTCGGATAATTCGACTAAAAATAGGTAGAATTTGTCTGAAACATTTTTTCATATTTGTAATAGGTGGCGCTGTATATAAAAAAAATCAATTTTGTTAGATTTTTTGAATAAAATACTTGGTTTTATTTTTTAAATTTTAATTTAAGTAGGTACTTAAAATGGTGGCCTTCGACTTCAATACATTTATTAATTTTTTTTTTTTCGGTTGAACACTCCCGTTTGTAGTAAACTGCTTGACTGTACGGTGAAATGAAATTTCAGCAATATTTAACGATAAAAGGCTGGGGAAGCATTTGCATTGGATAAAATTCTCATTTCATAAAATTTCCACTGAATAAAATTTCCATTGGATAAAATTCTCAGTAGATAAAATTCCCACTGAATAAAATTTCGATTGGATAAAATTCTCATGAGATAAAATTTCCATTGGACAAAATTCTCATGAGATAAAATTTCCACTGGATAAAATTCGCATTAGATAAAATTTCCACTGGATAAAATTCTCATTGGTTAAAAGGCCAAAGCTTGCGATATTGTCCACAAATACAGGTATCCAATTTTGTCCCTACCAGTTCGAAAAGTCATCTACAGTGTGGCCCATTTGTTTGCGAGTCACCCATGTAAAATCTTTATTTATTGTGCGATTATAACCGGATTTTTTTTAAAGTGTAGATCTTGATAAACTATTGTTTAAGGAAAAAACGCTATATTTTTACAAAATACCAGGCCTAAAATGTCAGTTTTTAAGAGTAAATTGTTAAGAATTCATATATTAGCGATTTTTTTAAACAAAACCTGGATTCACCACCCCTCAAAATAACCCTTTACTAAATTTTATTGAAAAATTTTAAGAAGTAAAATCCACAATAATCTATTAGTCTAGAATGGGATTTTTGGTCTAGTAATAACATAACATAAGTGGTTCTGCATTAATGCAAGAATTTTAAGAAATCATACTTTTTGAATATTAGAGCATCACGGAAGATAGCTTCACGGAGGTTGGGATTTCCTATGTTTTTTTTTTTTAAACACCCCTTTGTATATTTAAAATAAGTTACTGTATCTTTTGACACCTTAATATTTTTAAAAATACAATTGTACATACTATCGCTAACAAAAAAAACTCATACAGCTATATTGTGGCTGTGTGAATAATACTTTTCCGTCAATGTCAAGCTGACATCGAGCTTTGTCACATCCATTATGACTTTTTTAACAACATTTTCAACCAAACAATGCAGACGAACTCTGGCAAGCCATTGAAGCCATTTGGAACGAGATAAAGCAAGACGGCGACTTCCATGCTTTGCCGTTTGCGGGCAGTAATTGACAAAAACAGAGGAATGACGAAATATTTTTTTTTTCAAACTTCAACCTAACTTTGTATTTAATTTTAGACCTTTCAAATGTGACGTATCATGTTAAAAGCCATAATTACTCCAACAAAATGATAGAAAATCAGGAACACTAGATTTTTAAGCTGTATGAGTTTTTTTTGTTAGCGATAGTACATAAAATATTTATAAAAAAAAATCTACTTACTGAGATATTACACTTCACGGTGGATTGGTTTTTAAATAGCAAATTAATGAACTTAAACTTTTGAATTATAAAACAGCAACACTCTCATCTGCATATAAATTCTAATTGACCTTCAGGAATCACATGCATCTATAATGTCGTAAACTGAGGTTTTTGCTTATTTAAAATGATATTAAAATTTAAAGCAAAACGGATTCACGGAGGATAGAATCATTTTTTGTAACACCTAAATAAATGGTTATAAAAATTATTTCTTTTAATTTTTAATAATATTTTGTATTTGATTCGATTGCTTTGGATGTGTTTAATTTACTTAGTGAACTGATATTTTTAGTATGCTACTACCTCAGATATTTGAAAACATATAGGTTAACCTAGAAAGAGTAACAGTCACGGAGGATAGGTTGTAGACTTTTAAAACATTGTAAAAAATAATTAATTGCGGTTAAAAATCTGGAACCTTAGCTGTAATATCTACTTAATTATGAAAGATCAAAACACAATACAAGTGTAGGTCAAACTCATTTAGTTTTATTAAATATCACGGAGTATTCTGTCAAGTTATCCATGAAAAAAACTTTGAAATAAAATTAAACTTATAGTATTAGTAGAGATGCGACTTGAAAAAAACGGTCCGTTTTTTTTGTTTTTTTTTCAGGTTTTTTCCAAATGTTTTTTTTCACATTTTAGGTTTTTTTTCAAGATTAGTCCCATTTGCCTAATTTTTTAGGTTTCATGGACTAAAATTAGCCACTAAATGACAATTAGTAAATGTAAATACAGTCTCGCGCTATGCACACGCCACCACCACCGAATTGACCAACAAGGGCCGCGCTTGTTTTCATTTTGGTCCCAAAAAAAGTAACTACATATAATATTTTTGATTCAGCGCTTGATTTTTCAAAAAGCTTCCAAAAGCACTTTTTTCATGATTTTTCAAATTCATGTATGGAATTTTTTTTTCGAAAAAAAAAACAATACCAAATTCTTCTAGAACATTTATTCATTGGTGGTTAAGTCAGAACATCCCGTGGACCAGAAAGCCAAAAAAATCGATTTTTTTTATTACGGTATTTGTTAGGATTGAGCGTTACACATTTTTCATCTAAAAATCTCAAAACTGGAAACTTCAAGCTTCAAATTGCTTTTTTTACGGCTCCAATACGACCATTTTTAACAAAGATACATCTATCCGAAGAATCGCAAAATAATTTTTTTTATCCTTTAATTTTTTGTATTGGTGAGGAAGTTTTACATTACATAAGAAATCAGATTTTTTAGTCTCTGTCAAAATTTTCAATAATGAAAAATTTGATATATTCTACATTTCACTTTATTATTAATATATATTTTACTCAAAATTTCATTTTGAAAAAAAACAAAAAACACCGTTTTTTTTCTGGGTTATTTTTCATGTTTTTTTTCACATCTGAAAAAACCCGTTTTTTTAAGGCCGTATTACAGCCGGCAATTCTTTCGGCAATTGCAATGAAAATTGTCATAGGCATGCGCGGTTGAGACCTTTCGACGAATCTCTTGCAATTGCCGAAAATCGGTCCGGATGGACTTTTATTGCCGTTTTACGGCAATTCTGGGGTAAAATCTGGTAACTTTTATGTTACCAACCCTACTACAAATTCCCTAGAGAAACGCTGTTTGACTTAAACAATTTAAGGTTATTTGTTTTATAATTGGCATTGTGTTCAAAGTTCTAGTATCCATTTCACTCATTAATTTTTAAATATCTCTACTAAATAACAAATAAACTTGGTGTTTACAAAATCGTATATTTTTCTTCGGTTGGTAGCACGGTAATAAGCAGCAACTTGTCTTGCCATTGCTGACTGTAAAACAAAATGCAATACGGCCTTGAAAACTTGATGGCAAGAAAAATTGCTGCAAGAAGAATTGCCGGCTGTAATACGGCTTTTACATCTCTAAAAGCCGTATTACAGCCGGCAATTCTTCTTGCAGCAATTTTTCTTGCAGCAATTTTTCTTGCCATCTAGTTTTTAAGGCCGTCTTGCATGTTGTTTTACAGCCGGCAATGGCAAGAAAACTTGCTGTTTATTACCGTGCTACCAACCGAAGAAAAATATACGATTTTGTAAACACTAAGTTTATTTGTTATTTAGTGGAGATATTTAAAAATTAATGAGTGAAATGGATACTAGAACTTTGAACACAATGCCAATCATAAAACAAATAACCTTAAACTGTTTAAGTCAAACAGCGTCTCTCTAGGGGATTTGTAGTAGGGTTGGTAACATAAAAGTTACCAGATTTCACCCCAGAATTGCCGTAAAACGGCAATAAAAATCCATCCGGACCGATTTTCGGCAATTGCAAGAGATTCGTCGAAATGTCTCAACCGCGCATGCCTGTGGCAATTTTCATTGCAATTGCCGAAAGAATTGCCGGCTGTAATACGGCCTTAAGTATTAGTACCATGTACTGGCGGTTAACTTCTTGGTGTCGAAATTTTACTGTCAACGCTTCTTCTAGAAAATCGTGCATGTCCAGCAGCAAAACGCCCCGCAGCACATCATAACCGCGGAGAGGCTCCCGCAGAGCACTTCGGCGGTGCTGAGCAACATTATCGAGGGTCCGCCGCACAGGGCTGTCAGTTTTCACGAGCGCGCCACTTCCAAGGACGTCATCGACGAACTCAACCGCATGATCAAAAATGGCGACGACGCCGAGCAAAACGACAAGTCTACTACAAACACCAGGTTGCTGGATCAAGCGTGCAGGCCCACCGGGTGGGTGCACGTGGAGAACACCGTCGATTTGGAGGATCCCAAAGTAAGCAAAACACAACTTTAATAGCCGAGTCAATCCATATGAAAACGCCGAAACTCGTTGCTCGACCATCTTGGATTTTGCTCCAATTTTATAGAAATATTCATTAGGGTCCCAAAGGACAAAATCCACCCTTATTTATTTTTTCGCATGTATCAACTCCGGCCTAATTGAATTAAAACTTTTTAAAAACGTCATTTTTATGCTTTAATAATTTAAGCTGTAATTTTTTTTCTATTAAAGATATTTTAAATTTTAAGATGTCATTTTAAAGCTAAAAAATAGTAGTTTTTATAAAAAAATATAAATCCACTCAATCAATATTTCTAAATAATTACACTGTGCTGAAAAAACGAGTAATTTTACTAATTTTTCGTGTTTTTTTAAATGCGTCCCATGTCTCAGCTGTTTAATATAAACAGCAAATTTTTGTTTATTTATAAAGTTTACATACTAAAGAAAAAATAAAACTTACAATTGAACCGTTTGGCATACGGTTTCCAAACAAAAAAAATTTTAAAATTCTAGAAAATCTCATTATTTAGGCCATTATATAAGGATGTTGACTTCCAAATAGAATTATGAAATTTACAGGCTATAGCCCCTACCTTAATGTTCAAATGCCTGGTAGTTTTGTTATTTTCATCTTTGAAGGTTATACAATAGCTTTAAATGGAGAAAAATATTGAAATAATAAAAAGTCGCATTATTTCATCCATTATATAAGTATGTTGACGTTAATATAGAAATATGATGTTAACAGGATGTTTAGTCCTTACCTTGAAAATAAAATGCCTGTTTGACTTGTTTTGATATTTTTATCCATTTTGTTTATACATGGGCTTTAAAAAAGGCTAACACATGGAAAATTAAAAAACGATTCATTTTATTCTTAAATCATATAAATGTTAACTTCTTAATAGAAATATAAAACTTATAGGAAATTTAGACCTTATCACAAAGTTTAAAAGCTTGTATAGCTCATTTTGCTTTTTTTTATTTTTTTTTGTGATTGTAAAGATGCTTTAAAAGCAGCAAAAAATAATAAAATTAAAAAAAATCGCATAACTTATATGTATATAGGTACCTACATATATTATATATATAATATGCATAGGCATGCATAAGCAAACATCATAGTCAGGACTAAATATCCTGTAAGTTTTATGTTTCTATCTTGAAGTCAACACATTCTTAGAATAGAAAATTAAACAATCGTTTTTTAAATTTCAATATGTTTGCTCCTTTTAAAGCCCATGTAAAAGCAAAATGGATGAAAATATCAAAACAAGTTAAATTGGCATTTAAACTTCAAGGTAAGGACTAAATATCCTGTTAATTTCATATTTCTGTATTGAAGTCAACATACTTATAAAATGGATGAAATAATGCGACTTTTTAATATTTCAATATTTTTCTCCTTTTAAAGCAGTATACTATAGCTTCAAAGATGAAAATAACAAAATCAAACTACCAGGCATTTGAGCATCAAGGTAGGGATTAATTATCCTTTAAATTTCATAATTCTATTTGGAAGTCAACATCCTCGTATAACGGCCTAAATAATGTGATTTTCTAGAATTTTAAAATTTCAAGCAATTTTTTTGTTTGGAAACCGTACGCCAAACGGGCCAATTGTAAGTTTTATTTTGTCTTTGGTATGTAAACTTTATATATGAACAAAATTAGCTGTTAATATTAAACAGCCGAGACATGGGACGCATTTAAAAAACACGAAAAATTAGTAAAATACACGTTTTTTTAGCACGTGTAATTATTTAGAAATAGTGAATTTATATTTTTTTTTATAAAAACTACTATATTTTAGCTTTAAAATGACATCTTAAAATTTAAAATATCTTTAATAGAAAAAAATTACAGCTTAAATTATTAAAGCATAAAAATGACGTTTTTAAAAAGTGTTAATTCGAATAGGCTGGATTTGACACATGCGAAAAATTAAATAAGGGTGGATTTTGTCATTTGGGACCCTAATGAATATTTCTATAAAATTTGAGCAAAATTCAAGATGGTCGAGCAACGAGTTTTGGCATTTTCATATGGATTGACTCAGCTTTTAAGTCATTACAAATAAAAACACCAAATGGGGTGCGCTGCGTGATTTTCTATTGATCTTTTAGGTATCAAATATGAAAAACCATTTTCGTTTTAATTTTTGGTTGCTTCACTTTTAATCGTAATATGTCATATTATACAAAACTTTTTAAAATCACCAAAGGAATAGGTACCACAAATAATAATTATGAAATACTTTTGACAGTTCTGATATATTAGGTATGTTATACGCTAAAGAAGGATCGCTAGTAGCGCCACCACTCGGCTGTTATCAGCGTAACAAAAGTAAAACTTTTGATAATCATCTGTCAAACGCGTATGTTACAAACGAGTGTTTTTGAGAATAAAGCCGGAAAATGATAAAAAATATCGAAAATAAACCTTGGCACGATTTGTTGTGTTGTATTTCGAAAGGAAATTCTGGGTTGAGTTTTTACCGGTTTTCCAATAAACAGAAATAAATTTCATACAGTCCCTGAAATATAAATTGTATCTATTAGATACAATAAATGCACATTTTAGTAATGATTAACGTGAAAAGTGTAAACATTTCAATTCAGTAATAATCGTCAAAAAAATAAGTCGTTTAAATTTAAACAGCATTTAGCATTATTAAAGGCGTTGATTAAGAATTTAAAGTCTCCACTCAACGGTAAAATACCATTATATTATGTATTATATATAATATTATGTTGCCATGATTTCGTAGGTATATTTTGTTGTTTAAAATGCAGTTTTCGGAGTTTTTTAGAGAACCAGTGTTGCCACTAATAGACTATTTTGAATATAATTTTTTTGATTCTTTGACGTTTTACCGTTGTCATTGAAATAAAATTGAATTTTTACATAATGCTTATGCAATTTTAGTAAAAACTTTATAAACACAAATTTAAGCACGCTACAAACGTCAAACCCTCAAGCAGTGTTGCCAGGCGTACGATAATTTTCCATAGAAATAATAATTATCCTTTTTGTACGATAATAATTATACGTAAGTACAATGTACGAAATCACATGTAAGATAAAATTAAAATGTACAATAATTCAATGTAAATCAAATTGCTCAAGGGAATAAAATTACCCAATATCAAAATCTTAAATTTTGGATAAACAATAAGTTTATTTTAATTAACTCTTTATTTTGTATTATTTTTAAATAATAAATTTAAAATATAACAAGATTTAAATCACTTAAAAACCCCAAGAAAAATTTAATTCTACAATAGTTTTGATGCGCTGCGACGATAATTTTTTGTGGGCTGTCTGGAAAGTTGAAAGTGGCAAAAATGGGACCACAATAGAATATTTAAAAAAATAAATTTCCTACTAGGAAAGAAAAAAGTAATAGATTTACATCGTTTCGTAATAGGGTAAAATATTTTCGCTAAATGTAACAGATCTATTACTAAAGTAATACAACACTGTAGAGAACTCAAACATAAAAATGGTTGATTTTAAGGTTATGTTCGTGCAAAAATTATTTTTTACTAATTTCTTAAAAATGTCCAAACTTAAATATGAATTATATTAGGTAAAGTTATCATTAGTTAATTCTGCACCAACAAATGTCCTTACCGAATTGGATCCTTTGGCATAACATGAAAATGCAACGATTTAGTTTTTGAATTTTGTTTACAATTAAAAACACAATAGTTCACCATGATCCCTTAGATAAAATACACACAATAACGTAACTATATAAGCATTTAAGCGTTGAGTTTCTTAATCAATGATATAAGGAATAATCAATCAAAATCGAGTACAAAACAAGTTTTTTAATTTTTTCCTTGCAACGCAAAACACAAATAACGTGCGCCATTTAGCTGTGCAATTGAACAAAATTTCTCTCTTGTAAAAAAAACTACCTATTTATTTAAAAATGATGTATAATCTGTGCTTTAAATGTATTGTTGACAATTCTTTAATTCACGCAATGTATTCGAAGTCCACCAGAGGGCGCGCGCGTTGCGAAAACTCGATACTTCTTTAGCGTATACAAAATTCACCAGAGAAATACGCACAAATAATATTTATGAAATATTTTTGACAGTTCTGTCAAAGCCATCTAAATTTTTCATTTTAAATACTGGCATTAAAAAATTAATATATCTTTTAAATGGATAAAAATAACAAAACAAGACTAAAAATTGACTGAAAATATTAAGGTGGGGATTACATTTTCTGACAGTTTGAGATTTTTATTTTTTTCCCAACATAATGATTTCTGAGGGCAAAGTTGGCTAATATTGAGAATTATCAAGTTTTAATAATTTTTTTAATAAAGAAAATGATAGTCTAGAAACTTAAAATAATCATGTCGTTTTCTATTGTTACAATAGTATTGTATAAGTACTTGATACTTTAACTTTCTAGATTTAGTAGAATAGGCACAGGAGGCAGACAAAAATACAAAAATTGGGAAATTATTTCAAATCTTTAGTGGTTTACCATTCTTTTATGATATGAACTAATTATATAATAATAATTAATATTGAAAACATACTTTCTAGGCAGTTAAATAAAATTACAATCATTTCAATAATTGCCACAGAAAAAAGTTTTAGCCTTTCATAAGAGAGTAAGAAAATGACGGTTTCAGGTTTCTAAAGGGTGCCGATTAAAAGTAAAGCCAAAGATAATACACCCCATAGATTGGAAACTCTCCCACCACTGCCCTCTAGTTCTACAATACCTGAACTATATCTATTTTTAAATTGCAGACATCTGTACAAACGCTATTTGCAAATGTCAATGTCAATCATAATTATTGATGTAGATCATAATTTTTGAGTTATTAAATACATTTTTGCGCCTTAAAAGTGATAAAACGTGTTAATGGTTGTGAAATGTATTGTTGTTGGGCGCGGAAATGTAACCAATTTGTAAGTATTGACTATCCTGCCGTCCTAAGCCAAAAAGACTCATCTCGTTATTATTAAATTATTCTCTTAGAAAAAAAGACAAATTTTAACTATAGTTACATACATTTTTAAGTACTATAGCTCCTAAAAATTTCTTATTAAATTGATCGTATCTTGGAAAAAAACAATAAAGCGCTATAATTTATAAAGTAAAAATGTGGAGTTGCGTCTTTTTGGCTTAGCACGGCAGTATCGCTCTAGCGTAAAAATACTTTTTGTTAATTATGAATTATTTAGGATTGCTTTTTTAATGGTAATTTAGTCCAGGCCAAGCCCAGGCTACTTATGGTTGTTTCAAAACCAATAGTTGGCAAGATAGATTTTTTACGGTTGGTTAGAACCAAAAGTCCACACTTAAAAGCCTTGTACAAATTCCTATATGTTAAGTTTAAACTCGTATAAGGAGCTAAATTACCAAATTTTGCAATATTCTCTTATTATTGAAGAATTAAGATTAATATTTTTTAGGTTTGCACTCCACAAACAAAAACATTCATGTATACAGATTATGTATATATAGATGTATGTATTTTATTTTATATTATATTGTTAATACAATAAATAAATCTTATATCCATACTTGTTTTATTTAAAATACAGCAGTAAATACAATATATAAAGGCACCCTACGAAGCATCAATATTCAAATATGGCGCCAATATGTTACAGAAATCTACTTCAATTTTTGGCATTGCTAAGGGTATTGTAGACCTAGATGGCGTTAATTTACTTTAGCCTTTTGCCGCTAGCGCTAGTGTAGTTTCCAATCTATGGGGTGTATTATCTTTGAGTAAAGCAACTAAAAATTAAAACGGCAACGGTTTTTCATATATGATACGTAAAAGATCATCCTCAATTTTTTTTTTTTTAATAAAAAATCATGCAGTGGACATTTAAATTTTATAACTTTATTCTCTAATTGTTAAGGCGAGGGCGAGTCTTTTGGACGTCATGATGGCATCAGTGTCTAGCGATTCTTCGCCCACCTCTTCTTGCGGTGGCAGCGTTGCCAGCGACTCTGTTGAGGAGCCGCCCGCTTACAGCCAACTTCACCAGATACACAAATACCATAGACAGAAAAAAGGTAGATATTGAATAAATTAAACAATACGTACACACTAATATTATCGCTTTTAACAACATACAATATACCTACTAACAAGGCATACTTTGATGATGTTTTTACTAATAATAATAATAATAAGGTTTTTTAAGTAGAAATATTAAGATTTTACAATACCGCTTTGCATGCACAATTTTCTATACCGTATTTTCATTTTTGGTGTATACAGCTGACGCATTAGAAGTTAATTTACTTTTAAAGATTTACAGTGAAAATACGGTATAACCTTTAATCCCATACATTTTACTGGTACATACTGTATACTTTCAAACTAAAAAAATTGTACTGAAATTCTTCGGCATGTTTTTTAATAGTAATTTTATGTTGTAATTAGTATGTTATCTCTGTTCTTTTTTCCATTATTATTGTTTTTATTAGAAAGCATGTTCTTTTTTTAGTATTTAAATACTTAATTGTTATTTTTTTTGGTTTGGTTTACTGAATTATTCGTGTTTAGTTTTACTATAAATGCACTAAGCATTTTAATTAAATTATTTAATATAGGGTGAGTCAAATTATTATTGGAGTTTTTATATACAGGGTGTTCAAAAAACATACGTCGGCTGGAGATTAGACTGGGCCAAAAAAATCGACTATTTTTTTTGTAAAGTATATCGAAAATATTGTTTGGGGTGAAAAATTATTGTGAAAGTTTGAGTCCATAATATCATTGCAATTTTTAGATTTTTTTCCGGAGCGAGTTTTTGACTCCCAAACCATTGAACAAAATTGACTTAAGAATATTGAATGCTCTAAAAAAATGGTCTGATTAAGATTTCCCGTCAGATGAACCGTTTCCTTAAAAATTGGTATAGTTTTACAATTTGATCTTTTAACTTTGGAACTTTGTAATTCATGTAAAAATAAGTACCCGAAAAAAAACGATAAATATTCTTATGGAAAATCAAATGCAATAATTTTTTTTGTCATCCCAAACAATATTTTTGATATACTTTAGTCTCAGTCTGGAGATTCGTCATCCAAAAATATAAGGGCTGTCGTCATACTTTCAAATGTTAATTTTAAGGTTAATTTACCATAACTCACAAATTAACCTTAAAATTGAAATTCAACAGTTTGATGATAGCCTTGATAGAATAAACAAAAGAGGAGTAAAATGGTTGCCCTTAACACTTTAAGGCCTCATTTGAGGCTTATAAGTGCTTTTGTAAGAAACAACGTTTAAAATGATTATTAATATGTATAAACAGCACAAGAATTGTAAACAACATAAAAATGGCCGCCATTAGTCTGTCCAGTGCCTAACTTCGTGATTTTTAGTATACGCGAAACGAGATAGAACATGACAAAAAAATGTTCGCCACCATTTTTTTGCAATTTTCATATTTTGTTATGATTAAGTCACTAAAAGTACAACTTTTTTTTTCAATAGAAAAAATAAAAAACATATTGCATGAAAATCGAATTACAAAACTGTTTTTATAAAAAAAATTGTAGATAATTTATTATATGTATCATATTTTGGCATCAAAATTCTCAAAAATATTCTTCTTTTATTAGGCTATAAATTAAATTAAAAAAACGCAAGAAATATTTTATAAAAGTAGAGATAAATTTAATAATTGAAAGCTATAGCCTAATAAGATTTGGCAATTTTGTACAAAAATAATATATAATAAATTACCTACAATTTTTTTTTATAAAAACAGTTTTGTGACTTGTATGCTTGAAATGGCCGAAAACGCACATTTTGCACTTTTCTCCAGTTAAACCAAAATTACCTCTTCAGTTTTGAAAAAAATTGACAAAACGTATAAATAACGTTTTCAAATTTCAACAAACGATATTTAAGATACCTATTAATTTTTTTCAAACGTTTAATGTATCTTAAAAACTAAGCATTTCCGGACCTACGTTTAAATGAACTTTTGTTCTTATTTTTGGTGAAGAATTTCCAGCCGAGCATTGTACACCCTGTATATAAAAAATATGAATTTGATATAGATGCATTACTTCGTAAAACCTTCTATCTGTCAATTTAACGCTATATATCTCGCTTATCTTTAGAAATTAAATTAGGAAAAAGTTGAACATTTTTATGCTGATCAATGATCTAAACAAAAAGTTTTCGAGATATTGTATAACGAGAATTTGTATTTTTTTTCATTTTTTTTTATTTTAAAACCGGTTCCCTTTTTTTAATTTAGACATCATTAAGGCATTTTTAAAGGAAAATACAAATCTGCCAAAATCTCTTTGCTAGTTTTTAAAACTGCCGAGATAATATATCCCCGAAAAAAGAACACGCTCAATGTATTTTGTGTATTATAATTCTTAATGAAGAACTTTATACACAAAAAATTCCTATATTGTATTATTTTTAGAAAATAAGACGAAATTAGCGTTAAACTGACAGAAAAACGCATTGGTTGAATTTTTGAGGGTTTTTTGTTACTTACAATAAAGAATGAATATTTTTATTGAAAAGCTAAAGTTTTTTAAAAAAAACAGTTCCTACTACACTCACAGGCAAAATAATCGATCCACACAAATTTTCGATGAATTTCAATCGAAAATACTTTTTTATTTGATGTCGGATTTAAATGAATATTAAAGAATATTGTAGATAAATTAATGGACAATCGCTCACATTTTAAAAAATTACTAAAAAATAGACGTACGTTAATAATATACAGGTTTAAACAAAAAGATGTTTTTTACCATAAGTTTAAGACACTTTGTAGAGTGGCAAAACCGTATATTGTTCTAAATTAAGTTTTATTTATCAAGTCACATTTATTCTTAACAGTTTTGTTTTTGGTTCACTTCGATATATTTATTTTTGTGGAAAATATGGATTTTTTAAAAAACATTGCAATTTCCAATATTTTTCTGTATGAAGAACCATTAATTTAATCCAGGATGGACGGTCACAGTATTACGTGGCAAGAGTTTTAAACGTCACAAGAAGTAAAGTACAAAGGGCAACATCAGTCGGAGACATTTTTAAAAGTAAGAAGACACCTCAAAATTAACACAATAATTTACAAAAAACAATTTGATAGCTTTTGAAAGCTGTCCAAGTATGGAATGATTCAACAAAACTGTCACTGTCATCCTCCATAGGCTATGGATGGACCATAACAACCTTAGTTCTTCATACAGAAAAAATATTGGAAATTGCAATGTTTTTAAAAAAAATCCATATTTTCCACAAAAAAAAATATATCAAGGTGAACCAAAAACAAAACTGTTAAAAATAGATGTGACTTGATAATTAAAACTTAATTTAGAACAATATACGGTTTTGCCACTCTACAGAGTGTCTTAAACTTATGGTAAAAAATATATTTTTGTTTAAACCTGTATATTATAAACGTACGTGTATTTTTTAGTAATTTTTAAAATGCGATTCTCCATTAATGTATCTACAATATTCTTTAATATTTGTTTAAATCAGAAATCAAATAAAAAAGTTATTTGCGATTGAAATTCATCGAAAATTTGTGTAGATCGATTATTTTGCCTGTGAGTGTACTTAATTAATTAATATTAATATTAATCTACAATAATATGACTTACTCTTAACTTAATTCTTGTTTTATAAATTTATTTTATGCTACACAAAATTGCTCACAATATCTCAGTACTCAAAACCATATTAACTTTAATAAATTTGATACAAAAATATCGAACAAGAAGTGCTTAATTGCCAGTAAAAACGTAAGGGATTTTAAGTTTCAAACTCGGCACCCTGCACCCCGATCACGGAGAAGAGAGTATGAAAAAATGTGACTGACTGATTGCAGCCAATGCGGCCAGACCGGAAATGGCGGCGGTGAGAGCTTCCGTCGGCGGCCGCCCCACCATCTTGGCGCGCGACTTTTTCGTGCGCTACGGCGAAAAGGAAAAGGAGGCGGTCGCCTCCTTCGATTTCCTCAACGAACTCGGCGGTTCCACCTCCACCGGCAATGAGGAGGAGTGCGCTTGAATTTGTTGTTTATTCGGCTTTAGTTGGCAGCACTGCGCAACAAGAGTTTAGTTTAGAGCGAAATGAACGCTGTCTAAATCCGAAAAGGCACATTTCTTAACGTTAAATGTACGGAAAACTCATTTTAAAAGCCTTGTTGTACGGTGTTATTTATTTATTTATTTATTTTTGTGAATCCCTAGGGTTCAGTTTTGTTATATTTTTGAAGTTACACTTCTTTTGGAGTGTTAAAAGTAAAATTCTAGCAGGCAATGAAAATCCATAAGGTAAGTGACAAATTTTCAAAATTTTCATTTTTTCTATAATTAAAATAAAATTCCAAAATGATCAGTTATAACATAAATATTTTTTAATCAAACCTTTTTTAATTCTATTTAATATATTTCTTTAATAACACTGGTTGGAAAAATATAAAAAAAAAAATGCCACAGGGTGACCAATAACTTTTTGTAATTTTGCAAAATTACCGTAAGTATAATTTTGACTTATTCTGTTAAAAACAGGATTTTTAAGAAAAATGTGAAAAATTATTTTTTTTAAATTGGAACCAATGATTATCAGTTAAAGTATTTGATTAACAATTTCATAACAATCTGTAACGTTATTTTTTTAATTTTCGTAAAAAATCTAAAATTTCTCAATGATTGTCATTTTTGATTTGATTTTTTATTAAAAACTGACATTTTCTGCAAATTCTCTACAGGGTATTTCCACGAAACCTTACCCTACCTTGACAAAAAATTATTTAACAAAATACCAACTATATCTGAAGTCAAATAGTTTAATTGCGACGTAATTTATAACCTTAAAATATTCGCACATTGTGATACTAAGAATAAACACTGAAGAGTTTCAATACCCGTTACATTTTGAGAAAATTTTAGAAAATAAAGTATACAATATTTGTGCATTTAAAATACGTGCTTGTTTAAGGTTACTATTCAAGTTTTACCCAAAAAATTATTACTATATGCTTTTATCCAAAATTTTACAGTATCAACTTTAGCATTAGCCGATTTTCAAAAGTCGCGCCCGTTACGCTATACATGACGCTATAAAAGGTTTTCTACACAAGTTTTTATTGACATTTTGTTTCAGTTAAATACATAATTTTTTATACTATTTCTTTATATTAACGTATTTTGATATACATATATGAACAAACAATTTATTATCATGAAAAAACGCAGTTTTACTGTCGCACCCGTTACAATGAAAATACCCTACAAATTGTAGACTAGTGTTTTTTCGTTTTATTTATAAAAAATAATAATAATGTATTCACCAAAAGAAATTTTTGTTTTTCAAAAAAGTATAAAAAAGGAGATAGTTCTGAATAGTTCTTTTATATATATTTTTTAAATTACATATAAAAGCAAAGAAAATAAAAAAAAATATTTTATTCATTTTTGCACAAACAACAGGCTTATTTTCAACACTTTGCTTTTTTGGTTAATTAATTAAAAAACATAGTTTTATTTATTGTATTTATGGCTATAGTGTATAAAATTATTTTTCATTTACTTTGTTTTTCAAAGGAGTTTTATAAAAATATTTAAAAAAATATTTTATTTACTTTTTTGAAAAACATTGAAATATTTTCAATGATTACCTTTCACTTTCATTTATTATTTTTTGTTAATTTTGTTTGTTTTTCACTTAAAAAAAATAGAAAACAAAATGAAAAATGACAATCATCGGGAAATCATCGATTTTCCCGAAAATTAAAAAAGTTTTTCTACATTTTTCTAAAAATTTTGTGGAAAAAAACTATCCGAAGTCAATATTTTAAAAAGATATATGTATTTGAAAAATAAAGATCAATTTTTTTGAATAATTCATAACTTTTCGGTTGGGAAAAAAAATTGAAAATTTCGAGAATTTTTTTTTATAGGGTAGGTCAGGGTCAAAAGTGTTATTGTTTGCGTGTTAAAAAGTAACCTAGAAAAATTGTTGGCCACCATGTGGTAAAATTGCTGCTCACCTACATAAATTATTTGCATTTGGAATTTTTTTTCAGTTACACCAAAGAAGTATAACTTCTATGTACACGCGCGGTTTTTTTGACCATTAGGTACTTGGACTTTTGACAAAACATGAATCAAAATACAAGAAGCATTTTTTCTTGTATGTTATATAATATTTTTTATTTCTACATAAAATGTTTTGTCAGAATGATGTTAGATAACACGTGAATATTCTTAATCAAAATTTGTCTACAATTGCATAGTATTATTTTATTTATTTGAACTTGTGAATATTGTAAATTATTTTATGAATAACTTATTTTATATTTTTAAACATCATGTAATGTTAAGTGTGGTAGTATAGATCGAGCTTAGATATAAGACTGTATGATATTTATTATACTTAAATCATTTAATCCTTTGTAAAGTTTTATATAAAAAACGATGACTTTTCTTCTATACGATAAATACAAAAAAAACAATAATAGATTTTTTAGTACAATTAGAGTACTATGTGATATATTGTAAAATTATTTTCTATGAAAACGTACTATTTTATCTAGTGATTGTATACAAATTTGGCCTATTTTATTTATTTCCAGTTATTAGGAAAAATCAAAACTATAAAGGCTTAAACTAAATAGAACAGACTTTTTATTTTTTATCTCAACAATATGGTTAACAATAGTTATTAGAGAAAATATAAATGTATTATCCATATATTAATAGTGCCAAATTAAAGTTAATATATGGCAGAATCACAACAATTTATTAATTCAAAAAAATTTCAAATAAACCTCTTATTAAATTGACCATTGCAATAAATAAAATTTTCTCTATGCACTTTAAATTATTAAATTGACTTTAGAGATATTCTTATTCTAAATATGTAAAATTATTAAAATTAAAATGATATCAAATACTTAATAAATTATAGATATTCTTGATTCTCATCATTTATTAAAGTGTGTGTAGAGTGGTGTATTTTTATATAGGTTATGTATTATATGTATAATATTAATAAACAGATATGTTTAATAACCTGAGTTTTCTTTTCACTTCCCTTAAAATAAGAGGCTATAAAAAATGCGTTACGGACCTGTACATAAACCTATACAACCAGCGGCACAAGTCTGCAATCTTGGTTGCCTATGTATATGTAAATGTTTGATAAATAGTTCAAATGCCCCACGTGTTTCCGAAAGAAGAAGAAGACTGGATGTCAAAAATATAACCTAAAAATGAAATTTTGAAAATGCTACAAAATAGTCAAAGAATAAGAACGTTATGTGCGGCGGCCCAAAGTTTATATCTAAATCAAGCAAAATTATTAGAAAAAAGTGCTGCAAAATATGTAGTAACGTTAAATCAAAAGCGAGGTAAAAAAGATGATTCAATATCCAGTTTATTTGTTCCGATTGCTATTAAACCGAATCCAGATGATATTAATGTGGGAGCAGAGTTGACAGGGACGTTAAATAAAGCCGATTTGCTCAAGGTTTTGAATAAGTTTTATCAGAAGAAGGAAATAAAGCAGTTGTTGGTAGAAAATGGGCTGGACAGTATGTAACATGACTGTAAAATTCACTCAATGTAGAATTATTATAATTATTTTAGAATACTTGCAACACCAAGCCTATGTAAGCTTTAGGAGATACTGTTTGGAGGCCAACACTTTACCAGTGGACATCCATGTCGTCGTTAGTGATATTTTACAAGGAGCGGGAAATGTAACAGACATTTTTCCGTACTTTTTACGGCACGCAAGGCAAATGTTCCCGCACTTGGAATGCATGGACGATCTAAAGAAAATATCCGACTTAAGAACGCCAGCAAATTGGTACCCAGAGGCCAGAAGTTTAAATAGAAAAATCATTTTTCATGCTGGTCCGACAAATTCAGGGAAAACATACCATGCTTTGGAAAGATTTATGACCGCAAAATCAGGGGTGTACTGCGGGCCCCTTAAATTATTGGCCAGCGAGGTTTTTACTAAAGCCAATGGAAGGGTAGGTTTTTTAGTTTTTAGTTTTTTTGTAAGGTTTAATATTGTTTTTGTAGGGTACTCCCTGTGATTTGGTGACTGGTGAAGAGAGAAAATATGCAGATCCTGCTGGAAGTGCCTCAAGCCACGTATCTTGTACTGTTGAAATGACATCTGTTAGCACACCATGTAAGTATTTTAAATTAAGTTTTAAGCATTTAAACACTTAAAAATTCATTCTTTCCATGTCCCTATAGCAAACTCAATGACTGACCTAATTTATCATATGTAAACACTTCATTAAAGGAAGATTTCTCTACTGCACAGTGTAATTATATATATTACATAACAGTTATAGGGACTTTTTCCAAATCATATGTTAGGTTGATAACTTAAATGTTAGTTGGCAAATACTAGTTACCATAAATTTATAGTTGGCTAGATTGAGTAAACCAAACTAATTTAGTGGAGAATACAATTGTGGTTATGTTTGTATGTTTATAAATTTTGAAACGTCAAATATATATTGTTAAAAAATGCAATAACTTTACCTTTGATGAAACATAGCTGACTTTACGGCATTCCCAGCATAAAAATATACATGTATTTTTTGATCATATTTAAAAAAATCAAATATCAAGATTTTTGTCAATACTTAATTTTCCAAAATTATATTTTAGCCAGTTAATCTTCTCCTCTGTGGCATTGGGAATTATTTCATCAAAATGCTGTTTTGTTTTTAAAATTTCTTTTTGTTTATAATTTTGTTATCTTTGGCATTGCTTATTAAAATTCTGACAATTAAATGTCAAAGTATTTAAATAAAGGCCATGGACAGGAGTACCAATATTGTTTTCTGTTTTCGATATTTGACACATTATAATGTGTAATGTATACACTATTTGTACTAACATAATGAAATGTGTAAAATAAAGCTAATATTTGTATATTTTACCATAAAACACCTATATAAGGCATTTTTTAGTATCAAGTTAATGAGACTTTAAAAAACCATTAAAGTCCCATGTTTTCTGGATATAAAACTTACATGAACCTTTAATTGAGGAGCATCCGTGCAAAACCGGCTAAATCCATTTTATTCAGTTTTTGTTTTTTTTCTTATTTGGCATCTTTGGGTTCATTTCTATCGACAACCAAGATAATTCTGTTTAAATCCGACTATATCCATGTTAAAATCACATTTAAAAGGTAGCTTTAGGAGCAAAACCGGCCAAATCCACGTTTTTATAGCAAACCTGGCTATATCCAATAAATAATAAATAATGATGTGGCTTGGATATGTCGATACTACTACTAAAATTTGTTCTGTTTTTTATGTTTGCACTAAGTTTATTTTGTTAATATTTTTCAATAATAAAGGTTTTTTTTTCACATTTTAATCGGTTTTTGAGCAAAACCGGCTATATACAAAACATTTTTTGAAATTTTGGCTTTAATATAAAGGTTTTGAAAACGAAAGTATGTGTTATAAATCAAGTACCACAAAGCCCACAAAACTCAAGTTTGCTTTTTCTTTTATCTGTAAAGGCCAGGAAACCGAGAGTTTTTGCTATTTTCCCAACATTTTATTAAAGTGGATATAGCCGGTTTTGCACGGATGCTCCTCAATTACTTTTTGGTTAACGCCATATTTTAAATATGACTCCCAGTGTAATTCCTATAGTTTTAACAGTGTGTTATTCCACATAAAAAATAATAATACCTAATGGCTGCTAAATTTAAATAAAAGAGTAGGTGCATTTTTAATTTTACAAATTTTAGATCTCAAAATACAGACAAAATACTGCCAAAGAATTTTGTAGAAAGGCTTATTGATGTCAAAATTGGGGCAATTGCGAATAAAAGAAATCAATAATTGCAAAGAAAACCTGGTTTTCTTTGTTATAGAGAATAATCTACCAAAAAAATCAAGTGAACTTATTTGTAAATATATATTTTAATTTTAAATATTTTTTATTTAGTTTAAGGATTTTTTTATTTATTTAAATTTTATGGATTCCAGAGCTGGGAATTATCTAAGATAAAAGATACAATTATTATCTTAAATACTTAAAGTGTCTTAAGATAGTTTATCTTATCTATTCTTTTGAATTTTGGTATTTATACTGACATACTGAAAGTATTTGTATCTTGTATTTTTAAAAAGTATCTTAAATACTTGGAAGAATTTTAAATACTTTTTTCTAACTTTTTCTAACAAACCGGTTTTATATAAATATTAGTCAATAATATTAGTCAAAACATTACACTTGGCCGTCAATAACATGAAGTGAAAGGGCGAAAATTAGTAGTTTTTTATTAAGTTTGAATGTATTCTGAAAAAGCTACTGATATAGGGAAACAATTTTTAATTAAAAATAAACTTGTAAAACTTTAAAAACAGTGTAGTTTTTCTTATGTGGAAACTACACTGAAAAAAAAAATCATGTAAATTTCCGGTAATGGAGATTGGTTATTTTGATGCCTTGTTGATAACTGAAATATTCCATTTCATTATTATTTTACATGCAAAATGTAATAGCATAATTGACGTGTAACTCATTTATATTTTTTATGTAAAATAACATTTTTAATGTAATATGTTTTTTATATGAAATGTATTTTTACATGATAACATTAACATGCCGATTCCCAGCCAATAGGCTTCTTCTCCGGTTACATATGAAATGTAATTTTGCGATTTTTACTACACTCCGAATGTAAAAAAACATTTAAACCTGTAATATTAAGACTAATAAAGTATATTTACATTTGAAATAATGCAGTAAGAAGTTATAATTGTATTTTTTACATTTAGTTCGTTAAATTTACTTGTTGTATCAATAATTAATACATAACATTAGTAATTTTACAAACAAAAATGTTTATTTACTTGAAATATATAAAAATTAGACGAAAATAAAGGTAATTTTACAATTTGTCGTAAAAATAAGGAATTTATGTGGTAATAATCCTGTAACTTTACATTTAAATGTAATAATTTTTTTCAGTGTACCAAATAAAAAGAAATCAATTTTTTAGTCTCGGTCAAAACTTTCAATAATGAAAAATGTAATATATTCTACATTTCACTTTATTATTAATATACCTACATACATTTTACTCAAAATTTCATTTTGAAAAATTACTCAATTTTTTAAGATTGATGTTATTTATTGACAGAATATGCTTTATTGTAGCGGATTTGAAAAAAATTAAAAAAAAAAAACGTTTTTTTCTAGGTTTTTTTTCACATCTGAGAAAAAACCGTTTTTTACATCTTTAATTACATTTCACGATAATATCGCAAGCAGTTTTAGTTTTTATTACACATGGCTATCAAGTCTCATTTTAATTCGACTTGATTTCTATGAGACATTAGATAATTGAAACTTAAGGGAAATTACATTTTTATTATAATTTCCAAATTGAATGCATATTTTCTTTACAAATACTAAAAATAATGCATTTGTTGTATTTATTTCCATTGGTTTTTTAAATATTTTCCTTAACGTGAAAGCAATTTTCGTTAACAGAAATTTTAATAAATTTACTAATTATAATTTTAATGAAAATTATTTTTACTGTATTAGTTTTTTGGAGCAATTTTATGACACATTAAAAGGATTTTATTTTAATTCAATTTTATTAAAGTAGCTTCTGACTTGGATACAATGTTACATTTTATTTATGTTAGACCAGGCAGTATTAAAATAAAACGAATTAAAATTACTATTACGAATATAAATGCATTTGTCCTTAAAGATATAGTTTTATACTTTCCTAAATGACATAAAAATTAAAAACATTTTAATTTAAAATACTTATTGACATGTTGTTCCCGAATAAAATTTAGAACCGCAATATATAGAGTCTAACAATATTTAGAGAATCAGAAAATAACATTGAATTAAAATGAGACAAAAAATAGCCCGAATTACTTTTATTTTTAACTAAACAAAAATAAACTTCTATTTCCGTTAAAGGAAATTACAATTCCCTTAACAAAAATGTTATTTCCCTTAACGGAAATGCTATTTCCCTTAACAGAAATTACATTTTCCTTAAGAGAAATTGGTGGCGCTATCTGTGGTGAAGGTGCCGAAGGTTCCACCGCTTACAGAGTTCTGCCAACTTTGGTTGGGATGCCAGAATCTTTCATTTTGTTTGAATGCAACAAATATGACCCAATTAACAATAATTTATAATATTACTACTACAGTTTGCTATTTACTACTTCTTTTCGTTTTAATAACCTTTATTAAAAACGTCAAAACACAACTTACACATGCGGCGTTGCCACAAAAAATTGGATTCGAATGATGCGATTCCAAAGTCGATCGGTGTCATTGCGATTCGATTCGGAGACTTTCGTTTTCTCGAGTAGTACCCATAATTATTAATATTACTATTATTATAACATTATCAATAAAAATTTTGTAACAATTTTCTGAAAATTTTATAATTTTGTCAATATTGTTTGATAATTTCACTTTTTACATCTGGCAACACTGGTGGGTGATATGTTGTGGGTGGATGTGTAACGGTTGGTTGGTTAAAAAGGTTGGTAAAAAAGGTTAAAAAGGTAACAATAAAAAAAATTGTTTTTACTAATAAATATTTTGTAAAATCACAGTGCAATAATTTCATTTTATAGAATTTTGATAAAATTAACTATTTGAACTTCAGCCGTCCTCTCATAGATGGCGCCAATTTCCCTTAACGAAAATGCTATTTCCGTTAAGGGAAATACAATATCTCTTAACAGAAATGATATTTTCCTTAAGGGAAATTGCATTTCCGTTAACGGAAATGCATTTAAATTCTTAATTATAATAAAAACTACTTTCCTTAATGCATTAAAATTACTATTTGTCATAAAAATAATTTTTATTATTATTTCAAATAAAAATGAACTGTTTTAGTATTTTTATTACAATTTCGAATGTAAATTATCCTCCATCTAATCTTTTCAATTTAATGTGCCCAAAATTTCAATGCTTATTAAAAAATGAATTTCATTTATAATTTGTAATTAAATGTAATGTAATTAAAATACATATAATTTCAATTATCTAATGTCTCATATAAATAAAGTCGAATTAAAATGAGACTTGATAGCCATGTGTAATAAAAACTAAAACGGCTTGCCATACGATAATATATAAATTAATGTAATGGATAAGTAAAGTATTTATTATGGTGGATTAAATGTTTGTTTATATTTATTGGGTGGGATATTCCACGACGTTTTTTTTTTTAATTTTTATATAATATTAATTTATTCAAGATGAAGTAGCAGTAATAGACGAAATCCAAATGATAAAAGACCCACAGCGTGGTTGGGCGTGGACCAGAGCCTTGCTCGGACTAACGGCCGAAGAGATCCATCTGTGCGGCGAAGCCGGAACCATAGACCTAATAAAACAAATGTGCCTGACGACCAACGAAGACATGGAGGTTCGAAACTACAAGCGTCTAACGGAACTCGAGGTGGAGGACGAGTGCCTGGGCAGCCTGGACAACGTCCAGCCGGGCGATTGCTTCGTGTGCTTCAGCAAAAACGACATCTACTCGGTTTCGAGGAGCATCGAAGCTACCGGCAAAGAGGTGGCCGTCATCTACGGCGGACTGCCGCCCGGCACGAAGCTGGCTCAAGCTGCCAAGTTCAACGATCCAGAGAACAGCTGCAAGATTCTAGTTGCCACGGATGCCATAGGGATGGGATTGAATTTGTAAGTAGGGTTGCAATTTTTATTTTTTCATGCGTTAAGGGGCGATTCCATGATTACTAACGGGGTAAAAAGAAATAAGGCAAAATATTTTTGAAGATATGTTGTTCCTATAAAAATAATTTTATGACATTCTTACTTAATTTCATTGCTGAGAACTATCATATATATTATTATAGGAACAACACACCTTCAAAAATGTTCATAAAACATTTTCTTTTCTTTATGTTGGTCCCTTTAGTAATCATGTAATCGTCCTAAGGTTTTAATGCACATTATTAAAATAATGAGTAATGTAATTTCTTCCTTTTTAATTAAGTTAATTACTCATTACATTTTTTCCAATGAGTAATGTATTATTTTTTACATTTCTCATTTTTAACTTGTAATGAGTATTTTGAACGTTTAAATTACAATTTTTTATGTTAATGAGTAAAGTACTCACTTTACATTACTCATTTTTTTTATTTTTAATGAGAAATTAATGATTATCGAATTATTCATTTTTAGTGGGCAAGGAAGATACACTGCCCGTCAAAATTAACACATAATAAGTAAAACAACTCTAAAACGACTTTACCAACAATCTTTATAAAATGGCGTTTATAAAACTTGATACATAATATACTATTATATTTCAGTTTACGTGTTCAAGGGTTTTTCGAGAAAATATCCTTAAAGCCCTTTTATTTAATAATATAAAAATGCTCAAAAAAAAAAACTTTTAAAGGGATTTAAAAAAAAAATATGTTGTGAAATACCGTATTTCTGTAAGTATACCCTGAAAATGTTGTACAAATCAAACGAACATTAACGAAAATACAGCGCTTTAAAGTCGTCAAAAATAACCCCTTTTCAGCAAAATAATCAAAAAGGGGTAATTTTTACCGACTTTGAAGCACTGTATCTTCGTTACTGTTCGTTTGATTTGTACAACATTTTCAGGGTATACTAACAAAAATACGGTCTTTAACAACATATTTTTTATTTACTTAAAAAAATTACCTAAAACTTATTTTTTAAACTTTTTTATTATTATTAAATAAAAGGGCTTTAAAAATATTTTCTCAAAAAACCCTCGAACACGTAAACTGAGATATAAGTTAAAGTATTTTTATAAAAAATTTCATAAAGATTAGTAAAAGCGTTTTCGAGTTAGAATTTGTTTACTTATAATGCGTTAATTTTGACGCTCAGTGTATTTTGATTGGATGACAATTTTTTTTCGATTTTTGTTTTGAATTGGTTTTTTACCAGTAACAAAAGTTCAAAATTAATTATCCGGTCGTACCATCGCGGATTCAATACTTTTTTGAGTTTAGGTCGCCTTCTCACCTAATTATTATAATCCCACTATCAACCCTAGTTTAAAATTTCTTGAGTGAGTAGAAGTTTAACGTAAAAAATTTGCAAGGGAATCGAAAAATACAAAGAGTTTGAAAATTAAAATTTTAAAAATCAAAATTCGCATGCAAATATGATTTGGATTATTTTTATACACGAACATTTTAAGAAATAAAAATTTTAATTCGGACCATTATTAAAGAAATTAGCGACAAAAAAACAAAATGATTGTTTTGAAAATTTGATATTTTTTGAATGAGTAATCAAAAAAAAGATCAAACTTTACCAGAAAGGGATTTTTAATGGGTACTTAAAAATATCGAAAAATAAAAATAATCGAAAATCAACATTTCGCGAGGCGAGAATTATAATGTTCTATATGCACTTTTTTCCAAATCTGGGATTTTAGCTTGGTTAAAATATTTTAATGAATATGGTTCCATCTACACTGACATAAAACAATTTGTATTACTCTTTAAGCTACAAAATGCGTTTGAAAATTGTTTTATTTCAAGCAATACCAAATTATTATAATGTTCTATCTGCTCCGCCAATAGGAATGTCGGAATTTTGCAGATAGAACATTATAATTCTGTAAATTTCAGTTTAAGACTGATTTCTGCGATACATAAGAGCCCTTTTTTTGTGGCATAATTTCGTATTAAAAGCAAAAAAGCACATATAAGTAAGCATTATTCTAATTATTGTATTTTACTTGTTTTTTTAAATTCTAACAATAAAATATATAAGAAATGCTGTAATGAAAAAAATATTACACCGTTTAAAAAGAGCTTTTATCGAAGCATCTTTAATTACGAATTTAACATTGAATTTCTTAAACCAAAATCCAACAGGTGCACTTAGGTTTGACGTTTGCGAAGAATATCGTATTTTAAAAAAATGGTGGTAACCTAGCTAAAGAAGAAGAGTAATTTAAAAAACACTTTAAATCAAAGGAGTTTTGCAAGATAGAAAAAAATTGAAAATCAAATTCATTTTTATTTTGTACATATTTTTGTTCTATCTTTATATTTTATTTTTGTTTATTATTCTTTTATAAAATGGACAATTTTTTAAACGCTTTCCTGACAATTTATTGTTTATGTAGATAGAATATTCGCCTCGCGAATTGTTCAAATGTCCCATATAAAAAATCACCTCATCAACCCTACCCCTTATCATTTTTCACTGATGTAATGGGTAATATCTTGTGTATTGTGTAATGTACGGTCTCTCATTACTCATTTTTTATTTTTTAAGGAGTATTGTATTGTTCGACATTACTATAGAGATGTAAAAAAACGGTGTTTTTGTTTTTTTTTTCAAATCCGCTTGAATAAAGCAAATTCTGTCAATAAATGTAGTAAATTTTCAAAATGAAATTTTGAGTCAAATGTATATTAATAATAAAGTGGAATGTAGGATATATTACATTTATCATTATTGAAAATTTTGACCAAGACTAAAAAATCTGATTTCTTATTATTTGGTAGTTTCCACATAAAAAACCAATAGCAATGTAAAACTTCTACACTAATAGAAAAATTCCAAATTTTTGCGATTTATCTTATAGCTGTATCTTTGTTAAAAATGGTCGTATTAGAGCCGTAAAGAAGCAATTTGAAGCTCCTAGTTTTGAGATTTTTAGATGAAAAACGTGCCACGCTCAATCCTAACGAATACCGTAATAAAAAAAAAATTTGGCTTCCTTTTTTTGTCTACGGAATGTTCTGACTTAACCACCAATGAATAAATGTTCTACAAGAATTTGCTATTGTTTTTTTTTAAAAAAAATTCCATACTCTACATGAATTTGAAAAATCATGAAAAAAGGTGATTTTGGTTGCTTTTTGAAAAATCAAGCGCTGAATCAAAAATATTATAGGTACTTAGTTACTTTTTTTAGGACCAAATCAAAACAAGCGCGGCCCTTATTGGTCAATTCGGTGGTGGTGGCGCGTGCAAAGCGCGAGACTGTATTTACATTTACTAAATGTCATTTAGAGTCTAATTTTAGTCCACGAACTGGACTAGAAACATAAAAAATTAGGCAAATTGGATTAATCTTGAAAAAAAACCTAAAATATGAAAAAAAACAATGAAAAAAAAAACAAAAAAAAAGGACCGTTTTTTTTCAAGTCGCATCTCTAGACATTACTCATTAATTTTTTAATTTGTAACTTCTCATTGCAGTTTTTTTTAATGATTAATGTATTCAAACTACATTACCATTAAAACCATTAAAAAATGACGATTGCATTATTTTTTACATTAAAATTTTTGCAATTCTGTAAGGTACATTTTGTTTGTGGTTGTAGTAAAATCGCGATTTTTAGGAGCATCAGAAGAGTGATCTTCTACTCGCTCATAAAACCGACGATGAACGAGAAGGGCGAAAAAGAAATGGACACCATATCGGTGTCGCAAGCCCTGCAGATAGCGGGGAGAGCGGGGAGATACGGCACCCAATGGGAGCGAGGTTTCGTGACGACGTTCAAGTCCGAGGACCTGCCGACGTTAAAAATGCTGCTGGCCTCGCCGCCCGAACCAATCACGCAAGGCGGATTGCACCCCACCGCGGACCAGATAGAACTGTACGCGTATCATCTGCCCAACTCCACTCTCAGCAATTTGATGGTAAGTGCCGCCACGATACACAAAAACCAATATGCTGGTTATGAAACGAAAACTGGTCGATTCCGCGCATGTGACGTCACGTGCGAACCAGATTCGGATGTTACAAACAGTTTTGCATAGGCATACGCTATGCACGGGTGTTTTACTACGATTTCTTTTGAGTTTTTTCCCGAAATTATTGTGTTTTTCAAAGTATAAGCCACGCACGAAGGTTTTGCACCGTTTTTCGTAAAAATTTTACTGCATTTATTTAACAGCAATAACTATTTACAAGGTATTTATAAGCGACGCACGGGTGTTTTATACCCTGGAGGTTATTTATTAAGTTTGTGTTATATTTGTTGGCATTAATAACTATTTAAAATATGCCGGGCTGTGCTGTAGCAGACAGAAGAAATATGAAATATAGCATTAAATATTTTCGATTTCCAAAAAATAAAGCATAGTGGATGAATGCATGCAAGAGAAAGGATAAAATAAAAATAAAAAACGGTTAGTAAAGGCAATTTTTGGTATACCCAATTTTCTGTTAGGTACCTATCAGTGTCGGACTAAGGGGGGCGGTCCGCCCGGGCCCCGTTCTAGAAGGGCCCCCAAATCTTAAGTAGTCTTTCTTAGTCCACCAAAAAGCTATCTAAAATTTATTGTTTTAAATTTTCCGGAAAAATTGAGCCCGAAAAAAAATTGGGAAATTTTCAGAAAAATTGACTTGCATTTTTATCATTTTATTCAGATTATACAAAAAAATGCAAAAGTCAATTTTTCTAAAAATTTACAAATTTTTACAGATACATATCCGTACACTGATATACGACGATGAATGTAATGTTAAGTTGTTGATTGCTACTTTTTTCAAATGTATATATTTTTCAAAAAAAATTCAATATTTCCTTTTTTTAATTTTTTCGGTTTTTTTTTTCGACACTTTAAAACCCTAGTATAGGTATTAATATTTCAGGACCCATCTTTACCATAAAATATATACTGATTAAAAAAAATACCCCGGAGATTTCAAGTTTCTAATGAATAACAGCTATGAAAAAAAAACAAAATATAAAGTCAAAACTAAAAAAAAGATTTTTAATATTTTGGTCTTGGGAGCCCCTAGCTGCAATCCATCAGGAATTAGGAAATAGGTTATAATTACATTAAATAAATAAATCTTAGACTGCCATGAGTGTTCCCCTTGATTTTTAAGTTCGCTGAAAAAAGCTTGTAATACATTTTCATATCCCTGACTTGTCACCCTAACGACATATTTTGTTACAGCTTGCAGCTTACTAATAATACAAATTAAAACACAAATGTATAGGCAAAGCTGGGGGTATCTTAAAAAAAAGATACTTAGATATCTTAGATATTTTAAGTATCTAAGATACTTTATCTTAGATACTTTTTATATTGGACAGAAAGTTACTTTGGAAAAGTATCTTGTAACTTGTATACATTAGTAACTTAGATACTTTAAAGTAACCAAGATACTTTTTAAAGTAACTTAGATACTTTCTTAGAGAAAATTGGGGGAATTCCAGAATGATTCAAAGTAATTACCTTACCTAAAACTTGTTTTATTTTATAGTTTTTATTCATACTTAAAAGTAACTAAAGATACTTTCAACTTAAAGTATCTAGTTACCCGAGGTAACTAAGTTATTTTGTTTAAAGTATCTTGGAAAAGTAATTAGATACTTTTCAGAAGTAACTTTTCCAGCTATATGTATAGAAGGCCTGCTTCAAAAGTATCACAAATAATACTTTTGACACTTCCGTGCGTTATTATTACCTGTACAAATGTATTTTTATAATTTTGTTACATTTCACATTAAAAATGTAAAATTTGGTCTATACAATATTTGGTTTATACAATAAAATAAAAAATATTTAAAAAAATAATATTAAGATAGGAAATATTTTTTTCTTAAAATATGTTGCATTATTAATAAAAGGGCTTGCTGCCAATTTAACTTTCTCTTAACATTTGTTACACTTAATAATTGCACCCAGGCCGTCCCTATATTTATAAATTTTCGAATATAACTTGAATTTGCAGTGCAAATATCATTCAAACCCAGTTACACGCCAGCTCTTGGTTCACACATGACGTCACACGGTGCGAGAGAGAAAGCTATAACATGCGCATCAGCATACCATTTTTTGTGTATCGTGAGTGCCGCAAGGGACCACTTAGATCTAGCTCGTTCGTAATTTGCAGGATATTTTTGTCAACTTATCTACAGTGGACGACTCCTTGTATTTTATGTGTAACATAGAAGATTTTAAATTCTTAGCCGATATGATACAACACGTACCTTTACCTTTACGAGCCAGATACGTGTTTTGCTGTGCCCCAATAAACAAGAAGATGCCGTTTGTGTGTACCATGTTCCTTAAAGTACTACTTCAAACAATTTATGAAAAAAAAATATTTCAATTATATCTTTTAGTTCACAAGGCAATACAGCAAAAACGAACCAATAACTTTTGATTGGTTGTGCAGAAACATAGGTTGGCCTTTACAGCCACCCAAAACCATTATTGATTTGGTCCATTTAGAAGCAGTTTTTGACGTGCTGGATCTGTATCTTTGGTTGAGTTACCGTTTCATGGACTTATTCAACGAAGCACACCTAATACGAGACATGCAGCAAGAGTTAGACTTAATAATACAGCAGGGCATAGTACAATTAACGAGGTTGCTGAGAAATTCGGAAACAGGGGTCAGTTCTGGAACCTCGGCGGCCGATGACGACGAGTTCGAGTTAAATAGACAGAAACAGAATTATCTTAGAGGTAGGTGAAGATTTTATTAATTTTTCAGTTTTTTTCTACTAATTATTTTTAGATTCAAAGTCTTCCCAAATTGGCAGAGGTAGGTTGACAGAGAGGCTTTTGGCCCAAGGTATTTTGACTCCTAATATGCTGAACGAGTTAAAAAAGGAATGGGATAAGAAGGGAAATGGTAGTTTTACCAATGATGATGGTGATAATGAACCCCAGAAACCAAGGAGGAAACGAAAACCAAATAATATAAATAAGTTTTAATTAGAATTGTTTTTCTATATTATACATATTTTTTCCTATAAATCAATAAAGTATATTTATTATTATAATTGAAGTGCAGATTCTTTGCGGACGGGGTAAACTGAAACTTGGTTTACAAAAGATGAAACGGAAAAAAAATAGTGAAAAAAAATGCACAGTGGCACAGTAGCAAAAATAGAAGTGGTAGAAAAAAATTTCAAGATTTTTACCATTTTTAAAATTAAGCCTAAAAGCTCAAAAAAGATTCGAATCTTAAAAAAAGTCTAAAACGTATTGATTTAAACTTTTTAAGTTGGTTTTTCCGATTTAAAAAAAAATCACAAAATGTAAAGGAAATTGGACAAATAAAAAAGAGGAATTAAAGGGAAATAATGCACTACTAAAAGATATATTCTTTATCAAACTAAAATAAAACTAAAATCAAATTATGCCACGTTCAATTAAAATCGCTTGAGAGGACAAATGAATATTTTTGTCCAAATTTGGAGAAAAGTTGCTTAGGGATGGTAATTCGATCCCTACTGAAAAATTCCGATTGTTTTTGAAAATTATTAAAAATGTTCTGCTCCATAATGGAAAGTTAATTGGGCAAACAAATAAAAATAAATCGAAGGATAAAAAATGCAGTTTACCATACTAAAAGATAATCTTCATCGAATTAAAACGAAACGCCAAAAGTCGTTTTTTGGCATTGAAAAAAGTTAATAAATTAAAATACCTAAAATCAAATTACCACGTTCAATTAAAATCGCTTGAGAGGACAAATAAATATTTTTCGACCAAGTTTGGGGAGAAGTTGCTTCCGGATGGTTATTTGATCCCTATTGAAAATGGGCCAGATTCCTCTAAAACTTTTTGGATTGCCATTTTTTTTCCGATTTTTTGAAAATTTTCAAAAATGTTCTGCTTCTAAAAGGAAAGGAAATTGGGCAAACAAAAAACAGGAATCGAAAGGTCAAATAATGCAGTTTAACGTATTCAAAGATAATCTTCATCGAATTTAAAAATTTTTGGCATTGAAAGTTTGTTAATTAAATTTCCCAAAACCAAATCCAAGAAAATATTTATTACCTTTGCCAAATTGCGGTGTTAATTTTGTTAAAAAATCTCAAACAAAAGAAAAATAATTATTCAAACCATTTATCACTTCTAAGCGAGGTGTGAAAATAAAACGCCTATCCCATTAAGAAATATATTTCTAACTAAACAATAGATATGACCTAAAATTATTCAGTTTTATACAAAATTGACTAGAACGTAGAGTAACTTAAAGTTAAAATGGAACAACATGTACTTACAACTTAGCCACAGAAATGGTTACGTTTACTTGTGTTGGAAGGCAAAGTCCGGCCTTCGAGATTTGGAAAAGTGTTTGACAGTCAGGCGCCAGAAGGCTATTCTAAAGTCGGGGCTGTAGAAGGCGTAAATAAACGGATTTATGGCCGAATTTATCCAGCCCAGCCAGGTGAGGTACTGCATTATCAGCGAGTTCACTTCGTTGGAGTTGATGAACGGCGTCAGCAGATAGAATATGAAGAACGGCAGCCAGCAGGCGATGAACCCGCCGATCACTATGCTAACATACTAAAAGATATTTTTTATCGAATTAAAACGAAACGGCATTGAAAAAATTTTATCAATTAGAATCCCAAAATCAAATCAAATAAAGGTAAATCCACCAAAATATTAAGTAACAATGCGACGTTCAATTAAAATCGCTTTATAGGAGGAAAAATGTATATTTTTTAAGCAAATTTGGGGAAAAGTTGCTTCGGGACGGCAATTCGAACCCTATTGAAAAATTGGCCAGATCCTTTAAAAATTTTTTGAGTATACTATAGCAATTTTTCCGATTTTTTTTAGAAAATGTTCAAAAATGTTTTGCTCCAAAAAGGAATTTCTTTTTTTTAAAGTTAATTGGGCAAACAAAAAATAGAAATCGAAGGGTAAAAGAATGCAGTTTAACATACTAATAGATAATCTTTATCGAATTAAAACAAAACGGCCAAAAGTCGATTTTTGGCATTGAAAAAAGTTTATTAATTAAAATACCTAAAATCTAATTATGGCACGTTCAATAAAAATTGCTTAGGAGGAGGACAAATGAACATTTTTCGGCCAAGTTTGGGGAGAAGCTTCTTCGGGATGGTTGTTTGATCCCTATTGAAAATGGGCCGGTTTCCTCGAAAACTTTTTGGATTGCCATTTTCTTCCGATTTTTTTTAAAACTTTCAAAAATGTTCTGCTCCTAAAAGGAAAGGAAATTGGGCAAACAAAAAACAGGAATCGAAGGGTCAAATAATGCAGTTTAACGTATTCAAAGATAATCTTCATCGAATTTAAAATTTTTTGGCATTGAAAGAAAGTTTATTAATTAAATTTCCCAAAGCCAAATCCAAGAAAATATTTATTACTTTTGCCAAATTGCGGTGTTGATTTTGTTAAAAAATCTCAAACAAAAAAATATAATTATTCAAACCATTTATCACTTCTAAGCGAGGTGTGGAAATAAAACGCCTTTCCCATTAAGAAATATATTTCTAACTAAACAATAGATATGACCTAAAATTATTCAGTTTTATACAAAATTGACTAGAACGTAGAGTAACTTAAAATTAAAATGGAACAACATGTACTTACAACTTAGCCACAGAAATGGTTACATTACTTGTGTTGGAAGGCAAAGTCCGGCCTTCGAGATTTGGAAAAGTGTTTGACAGTCAGGCGCCAGAAGGCTATTCTAAAGTCGGGGCTGTAGAACGCGTAAATAACGGATTTATGGCCGAATTGATCCAGCCCAGCCAGGTGAGGTACTGCATAATCAGCGAGTTCACTTCGTTGGAGTTGATGAACGGCGTCAGCAGATAGAATATGAAGAAAGGCAGCCAGCAGGCGATGAACCCGCCGATCACTAACTAACTTAACATACTAAAAGATATTTTTTATCGAATTAAAACGAAACGGCATTGAAAAAAGTTTATCAATTAGAATCCCAAAATCAAATCAAATATAGGTAAATCCACCAAAATATTAAGTAACAATGCGACGTTCAATTAAAATCGCTTTATAGGAGGAAAAATGAATATTTTTTAAGCAAATTTGGGGAAAAGTTGCTTTGGGACGGCAATTCGAACCCTATTGAAAAATTGGCCAGTTCCTTTGAAATTTTTTTGAGTAACAATTTTTCCGATTTTTTTAGAAAATGTTCAAAAATGTTTTGCTCCAAAAAGGAAAGTTAATTGGGCAAACAAAAAAATAGAAATCGAAGCGTAAAAGAATGCAGTTTAACCAGAGCTGGGCCAAGTACAAGTAAAATGTACTTAAGTACCGAGTACAAAGTACTTTGTATAATTCCTGAAGAAGTACAAAGTACCAAGTACTATACAAATTTCAAAGTACTTTAAGTACAGTACTGCAAGTACAGTACTCAGTACTTTATAATTGTATTTTAAGAGTACATACATGTCAACAAGACAAGACTCGCTGGTACCAAGACTTGGTAATAGTGAAGCTTTAGAAATACCAAAGTTTTGAAACGTAAACGTAAGTTAAGTTATAATTATGTGAAATAAATCATCTTAGAAATATACAAATTCTATTGTTCTTTTATTTTATTCAAATTCGCTTGAACAAATTGAGGTTGTCATTGTCACTGACAATTTATCTGGATGCCAAGCTTCGAAATCAAAATTTTGCGTACTATAATGAACCTCATTAATGCACACAAAACATTTAAATGGCGTGTTATAATGAAGTCATTATAAACGCAAAATAGATAAATATATCGTCGTTTATCTGACAAAGAGGCGTATCTCATTTTTAAACAAAACGGTGTGAATTGAATTACGCCAGTTTGTACGGCACACAAAATGCAAAAATATTAGTTACGCCGAAACTGATTTATGCTAAAACTTTATTTGTACCTATTTATTATAGAGCTACGCCAGTTTGTGAGATTATAAAGTCGATTTTGGTGATCATTCTGGTATAACTCAAAAACGAATTTTTTTGAGTTACGCCTCTTTGTCAGATAAACGACGATATAATATAACCACTCAACCCAGATAGCAAAATGCATGCAGTGTAGGCAAGCGTGCGGATTGGTACATGCTCCCCAGCAAACATTAATCAGCGGGCGACGGTCGGCAACACGATTATCTTTTTTGGACGTCGGCGCGACGTTTGGCCAACATTATTTTTTTGGATGGCAAAGCGTTAGTAAATTATAATCGAAACACAACATACTGCCGCCGTCGGGCCAACATTGGCATTTGATTATACGAATAAAACAGCAATTTTACGTTGGCACTTTTTTTCTATATTATGATGGTATAAACTAACTTTTTTTCAACATAAAATAAAATTATTTTAAAATATATATTTTGGGCCTAAAAACTTTAATAAGCGGCATTATGTCGGTCCGACGTCGGCAAGACGATCATTTTCAGGTCGGCTGGTGGTTATTTTGATACATAAGCCCGCCGTTGCCTTAAAAACATCGGCCCGCCGTGGTTTAAAGACATCGGCCCGCCGTTGCTTTAAGACATCAAATTACAACATACAACCGCCGTCAGGCCAACGGTGGCATTTGATTATACAAATAAAACAGCAATTTTACGTTGGCACTTTTTTGCTCTATTATGATAGTATAAACTAACTTTTTTCAACATAAAATAAAATTGTTTTTAAAATATATATTTTTGACCTAAAAACTTTAATAAGCGGCATTATGTCGGTCCGACGTCGGCAAGACGATCATTTTCATGTCGGCTGGTGGTTATTTTGATACATAAGCCCGCCGTTGCCTTAAAAACATCGGCCCGCCGTGGTTTAAAGACATCGGCCCGCCGTTGCTTTAAGACATCAAATTACCGGACCTATTAATACAATTGTTTTTAGAAATTTTTAGAAAATTCCTTTTTATGAATTGTTAATGTTATCAAATATCTGCATAAAAAAATTTTTCATCAATACTAAATACATAATAATTATTTAAATAAAAATTACTAATTTAAAGTTTTAACGTTGAGTGGTTTTAAGGTTAGAGTAC